AAAAAAATCAAGGGTTAAAGGAGAACGCAAGTATCGGGTATCTTATAGAGCTTGAGCAAGAGTAACAGTGCCCTTGATCGATATTTTCGATACTTTTCGATAGTAAGATCATCTCCATCGATTCTTTCGATTGGTCCATTAATTGTTAAAGGGTTTTTAAGACCAACAAGGTTACTTGAGGGTCAAGGCTTAGGTTTGCTTAGGGTTTTTATAGAACCTTGGGTTTATAAAAGGTTTATTTATTTCTATGTATTTTTTTCTTATAAATAATTAACTTTAGAACTTGACTTACGACTTATAAATACTACCCTATATTTTAGTATTTATAAGTTAAGTTTTCCAGTTATTTTGGAATGAAACCTCATATGAAAATTCATAAAATCTTCAAATCCTTTATATTTTTTAAATATTTTCGAACTCTAGTACCGGTTATCATATAGCCAAGCTTCCCATTCACAATTCTTATAGCGAACCATCCCCTTTCCAAGTGGGTAGATCAATAAGACCCTGACTCTATGGGAAAATGCCATAAATCCAAGGTTCTGCAGAGTATTCAGAATTCCTGACCCCCTGCAGGTCGGATGGATTTTGGTGCACTGCCAAAAGAAATCCCCAAGATACAAGCAAAGTAAAAGTTAGAACTCGAAGTCGATACATGAATACTCTATATTTTGTAAAGGGCTGGGGAATATTAAGTGTTATAATAACTTTTAAGGAAGTTTTCATATAATAGAGGTAGTTTTATAATATTAATATTAATTTATGATATAGTTTTTTGGAAAATATTTAAAAATAATAGAAGGGTATGTGTTTTTAAGGAAAAGTAGAGTCCATTGAACCAAAAAAAATAATGAGCGAGGGAGTCGGGGCTTTGGAAGAGGGGATGGGTTAGGGGCAAAGGGTTATCCGGGTGTATATACACACACTCCTATAGATATACCCATCTACATGCAGATTTTTGGCTTCCACTTGTTGTTTCTACTTGCCACCCCTTCTCGCCCACCCATGACCACCACCCACCCATGCCACCCACTCCTCCCCCCTCTCTTCTCGGCAATCGATTCCATTGAAAAATGTTGGGTGCCTAGAAACAAAGCGAAAAACAATATGTATCTTATAGATACATGCACAAAAAACCAAAAAAAAAACCCAAAAAAAGGAGGAAAATTGGGGAAAAAATTATAAAAAAAAACACGTAACGAAAAAGGAAACAAAAAGTAAAAGCCAATCATAAAATGCCGGACAAGGCAAAGAGACAGAAAAGAGACGAACAAGATTTAAAAGAATGGAAGATAAAAAAAAGCGAAATAACAGAAAGTAAATATTAAAAGCAAAACGGAATAAAATAAAAAGAACAGCAGAAAGCCGAGATACAAATCTGTGTATCCGTCAGATACACGTGTGGCTGTGTGTGTGTGTGTGTATTTAATCTGCAATGATCTCCAGCTCAGAGACTTCTTGATGGAAAAAAAAGGTCAAAGTATCTCTCTGACTCTCTCGATGAACAAAAATACAAAAAAAAAAAAAAAAAACACCATAAAATAAGCACAAAAAGAGAGAGATAGACAGAGAGAGAGATAGCAAGAGAGAGTGCGGGCAAGGGGGATGGGAGGTGGAAAGCAACAACTGTTAACTTTAAGTCGCAGCTGGTTATGGTAGAGAGCGAGCGAGATGGGTAGCGAATAGGTGGTAAACAGTTACAATCGCATAAAAACAGATACATACACACAAAAGTATCTTAAGCTTATAATATACACTGCATAGATACTATATATATATATATATACTATATAATAGAGATTTATGCATTTCATACTTGCAGATACATATATGTATCTTTGTGTGTGTGTTTGTGATGATGCATCTGTACATGGCCAATATACAACAATTTTGTGCCATCGGCCACCAAAGCCAACAAAAACAACAACAACAATAACCATAGTAACAAAAACAACAACAACGAAGGTCGTCACTATCGCTATCTCTCTGCCTCGGTCCTCAGTCGACGCCAACAGCGACAGCGACAGCGGCAGAGGCTGGGCAGAGGCTTCAACATAGAAAATTGAGAAAACTGCATTAAATTTTCGTTTCTGCGCCTTGCCCCTACCACCCCACCTCCCGCTCCCTCTCGCATCCCTCCCCTGCTTGCAGCAAAAACTTTATTTTCCCTCCCTCCCCCTGCAACCATCGTCCGCTACCCCGCCCACAAAAACCACCCATCCGCCGCCCCCTATTCGCTTTTGTCTGCTTCTTGCTTTTTTTAGTTTTTTTTTTTATTTTGGCTATGATTTTGTTGCTTTCCCACTCACTATGCCAAAAGTTTCATATTTAAGCTTACAGGCGAGGTCAATCAAATAGGGATTACAGCTATTTAAGACCTTATATTCATTTAATAAAAATTACTTATAAAATATTAAAAAACTATCAAAAATAATAAGAAAATTTTGATGAAAACTTAAGGTTTGGTTGCCTAAAGGTCATATTTATAACCTTTAATCAAGAGATATTTTAAAACAATTCATTTTATATATTTTTAAAGACAAAAAATAATATTTTTATAAATTTTTTATTAATATATTCACCAAAGTTTATAACAAACACGTTTAAAACCCTATAATACTACCTTTTATACCGTATGGATCATGATTTTTGATAATATTGTAAAGATAATTAATAAAAAGCGCAAAAAACTAAGAGTTTTTTTTTTCAAAAACCCAACAAAGCTTATAATCTTCAAATAATCGAAAGCTTTTAGACATATCTATTATTATTATTATTTTAATTGTATCATAATATCAATTAAAAAAAAAACTTAAAAGCCCCAAAAATATCTTCCAAAAACCTCTTTAAAGAAAAACCCCCAAAAACCCATATTTTTGACGTTTGCTGTTCATGTGTGTGCTTGCTTGTTCTTGTTCGTGCTTGTGCCAGTGTGTGTGTGTGCTGTGTGTGTGTGTGTCTGTAAAGCTATTATAGCTGTACATAGATAATAATTCCAGGCCATAAGATATACAATTCGCATTTTATGTTTCCATGCCAAAAAAAAAATAAAACCCAAAAACGAGGCAAGAGGGGGAGGCAATAAAAAAGAAGAAGAAGAACCCGAAGAAAAAAATAAGAAGAAGAGGAAGAAGCCAAAGAGATGAGCTATAAGAGTTTCAATAAGAGAGAGTGAGAAGAAAAAGAGCATCTGCGAGGGTGGCAAACAAATTAATGGGATCTGATCTATTCGCAAAAAAAAAAAAAAAAAAAACACGCAAAATACACATGCAATAAGTACATATCACATCATATCATATCATTTATAAAAAAAAAAAACAAATAATATACAACGAAATCCACTTTCAGATATGCCACCCCCGGATAAAGAAGAAGAAGGAGGAGGCAGAGAAGAGAAATCAAACAAAAATGGCCGGCAAATTAAAAATACATTTTACCCCAAAAACAAAATAAACAAAATAAGATACTGGACGCCGCAAGGGACAGGGAGGGATAAGAGTAGAATAGAAGAACAGCTGCCAGAGAGAAACCAACAACAACAAAAACAAAAAAACAGGAACAAAACCGAAAGGGAGCCGAAAACAGATGCGAAAAAGAAACAGCTGAAACCTGAATACCGAAAGCCGAGAAGAAAACACAACAACAACAACAACTATCCAAAGACAAGACTCTTCTTCTATCGGCTTGTAATTCTCAAAAAAATATTTAATTTTTTTACTAAAGCTTCTAATGAAGTTTGTAGAATGTTGTAGATCAACCTTTGACCTTAAAATCTTGGGCTAGAAACTGAATAAAATAAAACCAATAAAATGATCTTTTTTTTGGAAAGAAACCCATTTTAGGAAACCTTCTTACAATCATGTCCTATCCTGTTTAGAAAACATATTTTTTAATGTTTATATTCCTTTATCTTCGCCATCTCCTCCTCCTCCTCGTCCTCTGCTCCATTATCTCATGCTCCCTTTTCGCCTAGAAAGCCAACCCCCTGGAAATGAGCAGCAGCAACCCCCGATGCCCCCCGCCTACAACTCCCCCCTCCCTGTCTTCTTGTTTTTCCGCCATTTCTATGTAGTATATAAGTTGCGCGCCATCGTTCTGCTTCTTCCCTATATCTCCCTCTTTCTCGGCGCCTTCACCAACTCTCCCTCCTACCACCTTCTGCTTCTTCTACCACCTCCGCCCACTTGTATATGGCGCGCATTTTCCGAATCGGGGCCTCGGAAAGAGACTATTCAAGTTGTGGGTTGCACGATACATACAGACGTATATACATACATAAATACATCATATATACATACATACATATGTACATGACCAGCACATAAATACATACATACATACACACAAGCTGCCGCATTTTCGTATTTTCCTTTGCTTTCTTGCTTTTCTCCTCTTTACAGCCTTGTCTTTGTTCGGTTTGCTTTTGTTGGCAGTTTAATTATTAATTATTTAGGCAATTTTGTACTTAAATACCAAAGTACATAAAACGAAATATGAAAAGATACTGTATATAAATAGGTACTGTTATATGGCGAAAGGATTCCCAAGCCATGGGGCTCGAAAACATTAAAATCTATTTCTTAAATTGTTGAATTAAGTTTCTATTTTCAAGGTCTTAAATTATAGTACATATTAACGTACATTAGTATGGCTAATTACCATTCTTACACAAATAACGGGACTATAGCATACTGCGTTGGAACACAAGACCATTTATACGATCTTGTGCGTTTCAATTATTATTTCAAGTAAATTTCACGTTTTAATCACTTACCAGTTTAATAACTCCTCTAGATGCTTTATTCTTCAGAACCGCCACTCGAAAATACGCAAATGGAACGAGCAGCCCGAAACAAAATCAAAACTAAGATGCAACGGCAACAAGAGACTTGAAGTTGGCGCCAAACGGGCCTTCAAGGGGCTGCCACCTGTTACAAAGTTTTTATCGATGGTACTATCGATAATAAATAAAAACAATAATAAAGCTTAGACTTTTGGCCATGCCATCTCTAGGAAAGCATTCCCGGTTCATTTCAAAGCAAGTCGAAATTAGATTATTTACCATGTACCAACCGGCAAGCTCGACTCCGGACGATCAGCGTAATGTGGAGGTGAAGGCAAGGATTCCGGGTGGCCAGGAGGGATTCGCTGGCCGGCTGGATATTGCCCGGAAGCTGACCGGCGTGCCGGAAGCGGAACTAATCGTGCAGCGAGACGTGTTCTTCATATCGCCGCTGGGCGGCCGCCTCAAGCTGCGCTATCTTCAGCCGCCGGCTCGCTCCCAGCTCGTCTACTACGATCGCCCCGATGTGGCCGGGCCGAAGCTCTCCACGTTCAACAAGATCGAAGTGGATGAGCCCGAGCTGCTGGAGAAGATCCTCCGTCAGTCGAACGGTGTGCTCGGTGTCCTGGCCAAGACGCGCCATCTCTTCCTGCACGGCCAGACGCGCATCCACCTGGATGAGGTTCAGCATCTGGGTCATTTCATGGAGTTTGAGGTGTGCCTGAAGCCGGAACAGACCCTGGAGGAGGGTCAAGCGATTGCCGAGGAGTTGTCCAAGGAGTTTGGCATCAAGGAGGAGGATCTAATGGCAGGATCCTATTTCGATGCTCTAGCAAAGTAAGATCAAGAAAATAAAGGCCTTGTCAGCTCCCAAATATCTTGGAAATAATTAGAAACAATTAAGGTTTTATTTTTTAAATATATTTAATATATCGTGAGTTGTTGCAAAAACACAAAGTCAAACTCAGGGCCTAGCAATGGATATTTACAAAATTGCTTTTTCCATTTCAGTTGTTTAGTTGTTTCGTTATTCGTTGACTATACACAGGGTCGGTGTGGGGAGAGGAGTTAGGACCTGGAAATATCTGAATATATATCTGAATATTGTAAATGCAAAATGTTTAAAACGACGAACACAACGGGGATGAAGCGCAATAATGTCGGCAAGAGAAACTCTATTCCTGTTAATTTTTTTTTTTTTTTAAGTTTTGTGTTAAGTTATTGCTGTTAACTGTCGAACTAAACTAAGGCTTACGAGCTAGGACTTGAGGATTACGCAGGGCGACGAGTTGAGCCGGGCCTAGGGTTCTAAACAAACAAACGTCCAAAGGACTCGAGGAGCAAGCTTCAAGCTTTCCCCTTCCTCTCTTTGGATTTCAGTTTTAATTTTTTTTTTTGATTGGTCTTCCAATGAGCTGTGACGAAATTCGTGACGTAAATTAATTTTGGCTTTTGGGCTAAAGGACATGGAGGGTGTGGCTTGTATATGGCGCTTAAAGCTAGGAGCAGGATTCGATTCTCTTCCTCTAACAGTAGGAGCCAATCAGGCTTATGGATATCGACTCGGATATGGGATCCGGCGCAGAGATCGGTTTCCAGTACAACCAGTTATAGCTGACTGCAAGGAAAAAGGGGGGAAATTATTAAAAAATTAAAAAAAATTAAAAAAAAAATGGATACTTACGGACATAGGACTGGGTGAGTCGGAGGGAGAGGGTGCGACAGCGGTGCCGGCACTCGCTGGTGGGTCGGAGTATGATGAAACGCGTACCCACCGCCTGGTGAACGTAAACATTGGGGCACTCGGTCTCCGGCAGCGTGTAGGCTGGCGCTTGGGCCGTATCGATGGCCACGTATCGCTCCAGGGCCACGCCCATGCTGGGCAGACGAGGCGGCCGGGCGAATATCGGTCGCAGGAGACGCGCGGGCACCATGCGATTGCAGCGCCACAGATTGTGCGCCTGCTGCGTCCATGTGGGCGTCCCAACGCCAGCGGCATCGCCTCCAGAAGCATCTCCGGCTTCCGCAGAGCCCGCCGAGCTACTGCTGCTGTTGAACTGCCCGAAGAGATCCTCGAGATTGTGGACACCCTGGTTGGTGGAGTGAACACGATAGGCATCGCGCTGGAAGATCTTGTGGTTGCTGGCGTAGATGTTATAGAAGTCCCTCAGGTCGATGGCCTCCTGCTGGCTGCGGAAGGCGTACGGAACACTCTCGCCGGCTACTACGGGCTGATGGCACTTGTGGGTGGGTGGATTGGGATGCCCTTCGCACTCGTCGCTCTCTAGCCAAACGGTCTCCACACTGGCACACGGACCACAGCTGAGATCCTCCACCTGCAACACACTTGATGATGTTTTCCAAGGACTTTTTGGAATTTGGGGGCTAGACTTACCTGGAAGAAGGGATTGCCCATGAGGCAGGACTCGTCGTAGAGCTCAGTCAGCTGGGGGAAGCGCTGGATGAGCGGCATGGTCATGCGACGCCACATTCGCATTCCCGGATAGACCATGGCCTGGACGACGCGCTCCTGATGGCCACCAGCTCCGGTCGTCTCATACCGATACGCGGCCACGCACAGCGAGACGAGGGTCAGGTAGAACAGCCAGCACAGGATCTGGCGCCGGCGATCCAGCAGATGGTGCAGTACCTCCAGTTTCAGGTAGGCGGTTAGTGGGGCGGGCGGCATGGCGTTGGGTGTGGGCGAGACACCGACCGGTGTGAGTAGGTTGCGCTGCCGGAAATACTGGAACAGCACATAATTGTCGAAACTGATGGAGCGCACCTCGTAACGGGACTCGGCCAGGCGACGGAGCTGCCTCATAGCGCCGGAGTACCGTTGGAGCAGTTGCTGACGGCTCAGCTGGACAAAATTCGTGTCCACCTCCAGCTCGAAGTCCTCCATGGTGCTATCTTTCGGTTCTTTTATCGACTTCCTTTGTTTTGAGTGTTTTTGTTTGTGTTTCCTCGTCACCCGTCACTCCATTTTTTTCTTTTCTTTGAAATTTCGGTATTTTGTTGTTGTTGTTTTCCTTTGGCTGCTTTGGTTCGGAAGAGCGGGGGTGCGAGGCGCGCCTGTTTTGTTAACAGGCCTTACTAATAATTTTGTTTAAACCATAAATCAATTAAAATCAAATAAAATCGCGTTTAATCAAAACAATTTCCTGTTGTTTTGATCAGTGTGACCAGGCTGTGTTTGGGTGGGTGTGTGGGGGAGTAAAAGAGAGGGCTTGTTTTCAAAAAATATACATATATTTTAAACTAAAAAAAGTATTTCTAGTTTTGATTCATTTGGAATTATATTTTTTAACAATAATACAATTTTAAATTAGCTTCTTTAGTAACATTTAAAAGTTACCTTTTAATAGTACCCTCCCCTTAAGAAATACTGCAAGAATAGCAACAATCTGGCCACACTGACTGATACTGGCCATTGTTTTGGTTTTGTTTTTGTTTGTTGTTGTTAGATGATAAGAAATTGGAGAAAAAAAACAACATCCAAATGTGAACCGTTAGAAAAACAACAAAATGGTATCCTATACGCAAGTGGAACACCCGCCGAGGAGCGACCTTTCCAAGAGAAGCATCATAGTCCGCTGCTTGGCGGGGATCTCGCTATTGTTGTTGTGTTCCTGGGGTTTCTGGACAAGATTCGGGGATGACAAGGGCAAGTGGTGGTCGGGGAACAAAGAACAACGCCTGGTGTGCTACTACGCCACCGATGACGCCCATAATCTCAGCCTGTTGGACGTGCCGGGCGATTTGTGCACCCACATCAACATCGGACCCGCCTTCCTGGACAACTCCACCCTGGTGCTGCCGCAGGCTCTGGAGCGAGTGCTCCGGAACGACAGCCACACCTTTCGGACAGCCCATCCGCAGGTGCATCTGCTGCTGTGGATCGGCGGCGCCGACAGTGGCCAGCAGTTCGCTCACATGGTGGCCAACCATGCCCGGCGCAAGGTCTTTCTGCGGTCGCTGCGGGAAGTGCTGCGCTCGTACCCCAGCCTGGATGGCATCGATCTGGACTGGGAGTTCCCGAGTGCCTACAACGAGGAGCGCATGCACTTCAGCCAGCTGCTGTACGAGATCCGGGCGGAGTGGGGGCGCGAGAAGCGGTCCTCGGACATCCTCTCGCTGGCGGTGGCGGCGCCCGAGGGCATCGCCTTCTACGCCTACAACATCCGGGAGCTGAATCTGTACGCCGACTACGTCAACCTGATGGCCTACGACTTCCACTTCTATCGCAAGGACATGCCCTTCACGGGCCTGAACGCCCCGCTCTATGCCCGCGCCCAGGAACGCTCCCTGATGGCCACCTTCAACATCAACTACACGGTCCAGTGGTGGCTGAGCAACGGCCTGGAACCGCACCGTCTGGTGGTGGGCCTGCCCACCTATGGCCACTCCTTTACGTGGGTATCCCTCTATCTCTGACTCTAGTATAGTTATCCTAACTATAGGGTGATCCATTTCCAGGCTGGTCAACGCCCTCAACCGGCGAGTGGGTGCTCCGGCCATGGGCTATGGCAAGTGCGGCAGTCTCGGCTTCACGACCCTCTCGGAGACGTGCCAGTGCGTCGGCAACTTCCTGAACCCGGTCTACACCTACGACACGGAGACGTGCTCCCCCTACCTGAGCATGCTGCACGAGTGGATCTCGTACGAGAACCAAACCAGCATCCAGTGCAAGGCCAGCTACGTGAGGTCCTTGGAGCTGGGCGGCGTAATGGTGTTCTCGCTGAACAGCGATGACCTGCAGAATGCCTGCAGCCTGGTGCCGCCGCAGTCGGATGGCAAGCCCGTCTTTCCCCTAACCCAGACGGTGAGGGAGGTCCTCAACGAGTCCTGATCAAGGACATGGTCCTGATCTGTGTACATAGGCGCAGTCGTAGACGATAACTTTATGTATATATTTATATAAATTAAATTATCACAATCGATCAATTCATAATGTAACTAGGATAGATAGATAGATAGGGTTAAGCATGCACAGGACCAGGACATCGGGACATCGGGATGTCGGGATGTCCGGGATAAACATATACACATATATATATAGTACATATTGGCATGTATGTACATGGTGTTGGTGTGAGTCATCCAACAAAAAAAACAATAATAATACATTGCATGGGAAAGTGGGGGGGAGGGGGAATGGGGCGGCTACGTTCGCCTCAGGCATGGCAACTCTGGCAGGGAGACAATCCTGCGCTCCGGCGGCCATCATGTCTGCTTGCCCGGTGGCCGCTGAAGATTCGGCGGCGGATTGGCCAGCAGCTCGTCGATCTGCAGCTTGTAGGCCGCCTTCAGCTCGGTCAGATCCAGTTCCAGCTCCTCGGTGCGCTCCACCTTCTCCCCGTACATCTGCAGCAGGGCGTCGTAGCGATGCTGCAGATCCTTGTAGCCACTCTCCATTTCCTCGTACGTCACCATTTTCTCCTTCATCTGGACGGGCGAACTCAGGATTAGGAATGAGGCTTGAAAGGATTAGATGGTCTTACCGTTTCCAGCTCGATGGTTAGATTGGATATCTCGCCATCCAGGACACCGCGCTCGGCCTGGAGGCGCGACAGCTCCCACTGCAGGTGGGTCAGTTCCCCGTCCCGCTGCTTGAGCAGCGCCTGCAGGTGCTCCAGCGTGGTGGTGTTCGACGAGAGGAAGCTCAAGTGCACGCCCTGGACGATGCCCGATGGCTGGCGGTGACCCGAGTTGGAGGCACAGTCCAGGTCATCCTGGTGGGGGGATTAGGATTAGAGGATTAAGGATAACTAGGATGAGCTTGAAGATCTTACCGCCTGCCAGTCGATTATGCCGCCCAGAGCCTCCTCGTTGGAGCCGCTATCGTCCACCAGACTGAGCGGCGGCGAGGCCCGAACTGGCGCCACCTGGGACTTGGGCAGCTGCATCGGAGCCTGTTGCTGTAGCTCACTGCTGGCCTTCACCGCCTCCACGGTCAGCAGGGTGGGCTGCTGTTGCTCCTCCACCAGCTTCCGGGCCAGCTGCTCCTCTAGCTCGGCAATCCGTTCCTGCTGCCGCCTCCCATCCTCCTCCAGTCGCGACAGCTTGCTGAAAGAGAAGGAGTTAGTGCCTGGAAGGAGTAACTAGACAAGGACGCACCTCTGCTGATGGCTCTCCTTGGTGGCCGCCTCCTGTTCCTGCTGCCGCAGAGCCATCTTGGCCGCCTCGGCCTCCATGAGAGCGCCCGAGAGCTTCTCCTCCAGCAGACTGCAGCGAGTGCGCAGCAGCTCCTGCTTCTCGCCCTGCACGGACTCCAGCTGCTGCAGGGAACGCAGCTGCACCTGGGTGTCGTCCAGCTTCTGGAGCAGCTGCTGCTCCTCCCGATTCCAGCCCGCCGACCGTTGGTCCAGGGTGCGCTGCAGTGCCTCTATTTGCCGGATCAGAGGCGTGGTGGTGGCGCCCAGCTCGTGCGTGGAGCTCTCCGCCCGGAGCTCGGCGGCCTCCAGACGGCGCAGCAGCTGGCGGTTCTCCTCGCGCATCTGCTGCTCCCGCCGCGCCAGGTTGTGCTCGGCCAGGCGCAGCTTCTCCCGGAGATCGGACACCTGCTGGACGTACTCCTGCTGCTCGGCGCGCATCGTGTCCTGTTCGTGGCGCGTCCGCTTCTGGAGGTCGCCCTTGAGGCCGTCGAAGCTGGCCTGGAGGGCGGCCAGGCGGGACTGCAGATCCTCGATCTTGCTCCGGCACTCGGCGTTCTCCTCGTCGACGCGTCGCTTCTCCGCCGTCATCCGGCACACGGCCTCGATCTGGGTGCGTTCCATTTCCTCCTTGGCGGCCAGGGACTTCTTCAGGCGCTCCGACTCGCTGGAGAGCAGCGAGATCTGCTCGCCGTTCTTCTTCAGGAGCGTGTCCGAGGTCTTCTCCTTGGCCCTCAGCTTCTTGATGATCGTCGACTGCTGGAGGATCTCCTTGGAGAGCTTCTCGCCCTCGGACTGCAGGCCCTGGATCATCTCGTTGCACTCGGCCAGCTCGTCCTTGGGGATCTTATTCTGCAGCTCGTCGCGCAGCGTCTTGATCTGGATGCGGAGAGCATCCCGCTCCCGGATGCTGGCCTGGAACTTCTTCTCCAGCGCCGACAGACGCTGCACCGCCTCCGCCGCATCAGCGGCATCCGGCGCCGACTCTACCCGCGATCTCAGCTCCTGATTGCGCTCCTGGAGCTCGGCGTTCTGGCGCTCGGACTGCAGCAGGCGCTGCTCCCGCGCCTCAATGACCTGGTTCAGTTCACTGATGCGCTGCACCAGCTTGTCCAGCTCCGACTGCGAGTCCTCCGACAGCAGCGATATCTCCGACGGCTCGCGATGGTGTCCCTTCGGCTTCAGGGCCATCTTACCCCCGGCCACACTCCCCAGCTCCTTGAACTTCTGCGGGCTGGTCCGGGTGGCGGTGCTGTTGGTGCTGGAGTCGCCGTTCGGATTCGAGATGATCTCAATGTCCGAGGAGGTGGACGAGTAGCTCTGGTCCACAACGTCTCCGGCCGGCGGGGCCGAGGAAGCGCCCGTGGTCCTCAGCTTGCCCTGGGCCGGCGACTTGCCCTTGTGATGGTGGCTCATTTGCATTTGGATGTCCTCGAAGCTCTGTGTGGAATCCGAATCCGCTCCGGCCACATTGCCGGCCGCCTGGGTGTCGCTGAACACCAAGGCCTTCATGGTCTTGGTCGAGTCTGAAAGGAAGAGGGATTACAGAGAGTTACGGAGGAGGAGCTGTAGCATACCATTGAGATGATCCTCCATGTGGCGCTCCAGTTGGGTCCCCTCGTCGTCGTCGTCGTCCTCGCCATCGCCCTCGGCATTGTCGGACGTCTCGTTGCTGGCTATGATCACAATGCTGTCGGGCAGTGAGGGCTCCGTGTCGGGTGACATCTCCAGCTCGCTGGCCGTCGTGGCAGTGATCAGTTCCAGCGAGGACTCCGAGGGACGCTTGGCCACCGACATCGGCAGTTCGGCCCCGCCGCCAGTGGGCGAGATCGGCGATGTGGGCGACGACAGCAGGTCCACCGAGTCCGAGGTGGCCGACTGGCGTTTCGCGTACAATGCAGACGATGCGGTACCGGATGTGGGTGTGGTGGTGGTGTCGCTGGCGCGGGGCGGAATGGTAACCATTTCGTTGGCGTGTGGATTATCGAAGAACGTGGGCGTGTCCGAGGGTGGTGTGGCGATACTGCCCGCTGACGACGACGAGGGTAGGTGGCCGCCAGCTGGCAGGTCGTGACCCGATCGCGTGTCAGGGACGCCAGTGTTTTCTTTTTCGGCCGCTGCCTTGCCCTCATCGTCCTGGATGTCCAGAGCCTCGATCAGCACCGTCTTGGCCTTCTCGAACCAGCTCATCGTTGCTGTGTGTTGGTGCTGTGCCAGCGAGTGCCAGGCGTGAAATGAATATCCGGAGTTTGTTTACTTCTCGGCTCGGCTCGGCCGTCGCTCGGTGGACGGCACACACCCCGATATTCCAGCTGCTTTCCAGGTGGCCAGGTGGCTAGGTGGCTGGGGGCCGATTCAGGGGCACATCCCGTGTCGCTGCAAACACTTGAAACTCTGCAAAGTCCAAAATTAATGGCAGGGTCAGCAAGTCCGAGTCGGGATTCAGTTTTTTGCCAGCCCAGCCAAAAAACAACAACAACAACAGCACCAACGTCACACATTAAGTGTGGCCGTTTTATCCAATTGGAAATTGTAAAAAATACTAGATATTTATAACACAGAAACTAATTAAAGTTTTAGTAATGTTTGTTAAATGCTATTGTAAAGATTAATTGATTAAAATTAATTTAAAATAAGCGAAATAATTAATAATTTCAAATATTTTATCCTTAAATAAATAACTCATAAATAATCTTTTTTAATTTAAATAATTAATATCTTATCTTTTTAGTATTTTTTTTATCTTTCTTATATGTACACCGCCTGGTCACACTGCTAAAAACAGAAAGAACGTGGTGCGTGTTGCTGTTTGTGTTCTTTTTCTTATTCGCATTAATCATCGTATCTTTCTGGATTTTAGATCAGACGCAGTACGAAATCTGTTGTGAAATTCCAAATTCCTAAGAGACCTAAGAGCAGCTGCAGCCATGTCGCAGTTCACGTGCCTCAATTGCGATGCCCGCTTCGCAAGTGCGGAGATTCAGCGGGACCACTACAAAACCGACTGGCATCGCTATAATTTGAAGCGACGGGTGGCCCAGCTGCCGCCGGTCACCGCCGAGGAGTTCCAGCAGCGCGTGCTGAGCGCCCGCAGCGCCAACGATGCCGCCCTGGAGGAGCAGAACATCAGTGTCTATTGCCAGGCGTGCCGCAAGCAGTTCTCCGGCCAGAAGGCCCACGACAACCACCTGAACAGCAAGAAGCACAAGGAGGCCCTGGCCAAATATGAACGCGACCAAATGACCGCCAGTGGTGGCAGCACGGCTGCCTCCGTTTGCACGCGAAGTGTGCTGGAGCCGCGTCCCCATCCCGCCCTGGCGGCTGCGGCGGCGGGCAAGGGTCGTCTGGCCTTTGCGGAGCGAGCACATGGCCGCGACGAGGACGAGGAATTCGAGGAGGGCGACGATGACGACTTTGAGGACATTGAGGAGGAGGAGGTGGACTCGGACGAATGGGACAAGATACCGGAGAACCCACTGACCGAGCGCGATTGCCTCTTCTGTACGCACAACAGCGAGGATCTGGTTGAGAACCTCAAACACATGTCCGTGGCCCACTCGTTCTTCATACCTGACACCGAATACTGCACCGATATCGACGGCCTCCTCTACTACCTGGGCGAGAAGGTGGCCAACTATTTCATCTGCCTGTGGTGCAATGATCGCGGCAAGACCTTCTACTCCCTGGACGCTGTGCGCAAGCACATGGTGGACAAGGGTCACTGCCAAATGCTCCACGAGGGCATGGCCTTGGCCGAATACGCCGAGTACTATGACTACAGTTCCAGTTATCCGGATAATGTGAGTGATCCTCAAAGGTTTCTAGTCCAAGTTTTGGATAATAATGATTTCTGGTTCTCCCATTAACAGAAGGATGGAATGGACATCGATGAGGAGGTCGTTCCAGAGCTGCTCGACGGCGACGAGTACCAGTTGGTGCTGCCATCGGGTGCTGTGATCGGACACCGTTCCCTGCTCCGCTACTACAAGCAGCGTCTGCGCCCGGAAAGCGCCGTCGTCCTCAAGAAGTCGGACCGCAAGCTGCACAAGGTCCTCAGCGAGTACCGGGCTCTGGGCTGGACGCAGACCCAACAGCAGGCGGCTGCCCGCAAGGCGAAGGACATTCATCTGATGAAGCGCGTCCAGTCCAAGTGGCAGATGAAGCTCGGCTGCAAGGCCAACAAGCTGCAGAAACACTACCGCGCCCAGGTCCTCATCTAAGGATAATGCCCCTTTGGAATATATTCCGCATATAATATTAAATGCCCCAGAATGGGTTATTTTTTTGTTAATCGCTAGGATTTCTTGTAATATAAAAATACATAAATGAGTGTACTAAGAGGAGGTTCCAAACAAAATGGAATTTCCGAATTTTCCTCGGATTTTCCGTAGTTTTCCTAATTTTTTTAGATTTTTTTCCGATTTTTTGGAATTTTTCCTGATTTTTTTCAATTTTCCAAGGTTTTCCACACTTTTCCAGAATTTCCCTTAAATTTCCACAATTTTCCTAAGTTTTCCTGAATTTTCCATAATTTTCCTGACCCTCCTTGCATGATTTTTCGTTGAAACATCGTCTGGCATCAGCTCCCGTATGGGACCTGTCACCCACCATCTTATAATTCTCAACCTGTTCTGGCACGTCCCCACGTAAGTATAAATTCGGATCGCGAAAATTTTTTTCTTTTTTCCATAATATCTTGGCCATTTCTTAACCGATTTCGACGTGCGACGTCTTAAACGATTCAGGAGACTTAAATTAAGCGATCTATGCAAAAAAATTTCAGGATTTTAGCCATATAATTTCTTGGTGGATTTTCCAAAATTTTTTTGCATCAATCGCTTAATTTGGTTTCTCTGAATCATTTAAGACATCATTCATCGAAATCGGTCCACAAATGGCCAAGATAAATTGTAATTTGAAGGAAAAATTTTCGAGGTCCGACATTGTACTTGTTAACCGTTAGGCAGAACCAGTTGGGAATCATAAGCTCCAAGGCGGCAGGATTCCGTTTGTTTTGGTTTTTCTTGTTTGCCATCCGCCATTTTGGAGCCGATTTCGATGGGAAGTGGGAATAATTAAGAAAAATAAGAAAAATTAGGAAAAATATTAAAAGCTCTGGAAAAATCAGGAAAAATATTACAAATAATAAATAATAAAAAACAAGAAACGCGTTTTCCCCTATAGGGCCCACGGCGATGGCTATATCTTCCCCAATTCTCATCCGATTCTCAAGCGGAGTATCTTAAACGATTTGTGGATCGATTCTCCACCATTCTGCATCAAAATCCTGAGGCAAAATATTTTTCAGATTTTTTGCCCATTTTTCCTGATGGATCCCCTGAAAATGGGGTTTTTCCCTATAGGGCCCACGGCGATGGCTATATCTTCCCCAATTCTCATCCGATTCTCAAGCGGAGTATCTTAAACGATTTGTAGATCGATTCTCCATCATTCTGCATCAAAATCCAGAGACAAAATATTTTTTCGATTTTTTGTCCATTTCTCGTGATGGGTCCCCTGAAAATGGGGTTTTCCCCTATAGGGCCCACGGCGATGGCTATATCTTCTCCAATTCTCATCCGATTCTCAAGCGGAGTATCTTAAACGATTTCTGGGTCGATTCTCCACCATTCTGCATCAAAATCCAGAGACAAAATATTTTTCAGATTTTTTGTCCTTTTTTTCTGATGGTTTCCCTGAAAATGATGTTTTCCCCTGTAGGGCCCACGGCGATGGCTATATCTTCTCCAATTCTCATCCGATTCTCAAACGGAGTATCTTAAACGATTTGTGGATCGATTCTCCACCATTCTGCATCCAAATCCTGAGACAAAATATTTTTCAGATTTTTTGTCCATTTTTCGTGATGGGTCCCCTGAAAATGGGGTTTTTTCCTATAGGGCCCACGGCGATGGCTATATCTTCTCCAATTCTCATCCGATTCTCAAGCGGAGTATCTTAAACGATTTGTGGATCGATTCTCCATCATTCTGCACCAAAATCCTGAGACAAAATATTTTTCAGATTTTTTGTCCATTTTTCCTGATGGATGCCCTGAAAATGGGGTTTTTTCCTATAGGGCCCACGGCGATGGCTATATCTTTCCCAATTCTCATCCGATTCTCAAGCGGAGTATCTTAAACGATTTCTATATCGATTCTCCATCATCCTGCATCAAAATCCTGAGACAAAATATTTTTCCGATTTTTTATCCATTTTTCCTGATGGGATCCCTTGAAAATGGGGTTTTTTCTTATAGGGCCCACTGCGATGGCTATATCTTTCCCAATTCTCATCCGATTCTCAAGCGGAGTGTTTTAAACGATTTCTGGATCGATTCTCTACTGCATCAAAATCCTGGGACAAAATATTTTTCAGATTTTTTGTTCCTTTTTTTGTGATGAGGACCCTGGAAAATAGAATCTCTATAGGATCGTTATGGAAGTTGGAATGTCGTACACTTCTGACCAAAATTATAATACCCTCGGAAGGGTTTCAAAAGACTTTAGTTTTTTTTGTTGTTTACTTAAATAAGTTTGCTCTTTATATTAAATAGCGACTTCTCGCCAAATAAAATTACATAATTTAAATTAACAATTAAATAAATTTTAATTTTGATTCGTTTATATAAAGTAAAATTATGTCGTTATGGTTATAGCATAAAATTAAACATTAAAATTAGACCAAAAAAAAGGTTCTAGCATGTAAAAAAAATAAACGCTTTTTTGCGAAAAAAAATCCTTCAAGTGTAGCGCATATCCTTTTTCATACGCCTTCCGGAGGGGGGGCGGAAAGGTCTTAGCATCGAAGTGGGTGTGGCAGCAGAAGTGACTATGTGTGCAAGTGTGTGTGTGGGTGTTGTTGTTGTGGTTTATGAGTGTAAATTTTAGCTAGTTTTCTTTTTTTAAATATTTTTAATTATTATTAATGCAGTTTTGTTTTTTTTCTATGTGTGCTTGTGTGTATGTGTGTGTGTGTGTGTGTTTGTAAAAGGACACCACAAAAAAAAATCCAGGACAGATCTTAAATTCTATAAAAAATATTACCAATTTTTTTATAATAAAATTTGTATAAAAAATTGGCAAAAAATTAACAAATCTTTAACAATAATAAATGGTAAAAATATATATATGTATAATCATTGAGCTTTTTGTTTCAAAAGTGTATAATTTTAATAATTAATTTTTGTAAAAAAAATTGAAAATAGAATAAATTTTAGAAGAATTTTCAGAATTGTTCTGGAATTTTCAAGAGGCATCCCCGTCCAAAGATCGAGGCTCTGAGGGATTTTGAGAAAGCGTTGTGCCTTTTGGTGTTGCATTTAAAAAAAAAATAATTAGTGGCAGAGCGAGAGAGCAGCAACGCCTAACATTCCTGACATATTTTCCTTCTCTTTTTTTTTTACGATTTTTTAAAATGGTTAATGGTTTTTTTTAGTTTTTGTTTTTTAGGCTAATGTATAACTACAGGATTCTGTTGAACACAAACCCCCACCATCGGCGACGAGGAGGAGGCATCGCTGCTGCTGGCTCCGGTGGCCGAGTTGCTGCCGCCACCCGCCACATTCTGGACGACACCGGCCGAGGTCTGGGGTACGCCGTGGCTGCCCAAGTGCCGCCTGGAGCCCACCACTCCCAGGCCTCCTCCGCCACCCCCCATTGATGCTGATGTGGATGCTGTGGAGGAGGCGGATGACGAGGAGGGCGGCAGCTGCAGGGGCATGGGCAGTGGCATGGGCAGAGGCATGGTGAGCGGCAGTGGCGGCAAGGGCATCGGCAGCTCGCTCAGCGAGGCGGGTGCTGCTCCATAGGCGGGCTGCGACGGGAACAGATGGAAAGCGGCGGCGGCGGCGGCGGCTGCTTGGGCCTGTGGCGTCACCGCCACACTGGCAGCATTGGGGCCTCCACCCAGTCCCGATACTGGGCCGGGTAACGCGCCACCACCTCCTCCTCCACCGCCACCACCACCACCTGCTCCCCCACCCCCGCCTCCACCCGCTGCTGTGGCGCTTATCACACTCGAATCGGTCATCATGAGATGCGAGGCGGCTGCCGCCGCTGCTGCTGCTGCTGCCGCTGCTGCAGCCGCTGCTGCCGAGGACAGGTTGTTGTTGTAGAAGTGGTGCGGCGCCAGGTTCAAGGGGGCATAGCCGGGGGGCAGCATCGGCGGCACCCGCAGCATCCTTCCATGGCCGTTGGGCGGCGGAGGAGCCAGCGGCGGATCACATTCCATGGCGTGCGGATAGCTGTTGAGGCTGTTGTGGTTGCCGTTGTTGTTGCTGCTAATGCTGCCGTTGTTGTTGCTGCTGTTGTTGTTGTTGCTGTTGCTATAGAGGCTGCGACTGTTGTGGCGTTGCTGCTGCTGGGGTGGACTGAAGTGGTTCAGGCTGTTGAGACTGTTGCTGCAGTTGCCGGAGCGGCTCACCAGGGAGCTGGGCTGGTGGCTGGGCTGCAGGCTCAGGGCGGAGAAGTTGTTCATGGCATTGGCTGCCGCCGAGGAGTGCATCAGCAGGCCTACAAGGGATTGGAAAGGATCAAGGATTAAAAAAGGGTTTATATAAATTCTAAATTTTAAACCAAAGGCATTTTTTTTTTGCATTTTTTAATTATAATTATTTTTAGAGACTTTTTTTATGGAGTTACTTTTAAAGAACTTTAGATTTTGAAACTAAAGCTGTTTTTTTCTGGAAAAAATTAAGAATTTCTTAAAAAAAAGACTCTATTTTCTGCAAGAATATATCTTTAGTGATTTTTAGTATTTTTTTTAACCTCATTTCAAAAACTATTTTCAAAACGGTTGGATTTTTAAGACTTTTAAATAATTTTGAAACATTTTTCTGACAAAATGAAATTGTAGTTACTTTTAAAAATCGATATACCCTATATACCCTACCCTATATCCTTTTCTTTTTGAAATTAGAGGCATATTTTTAGAAAAATGTTAACTATAGCACTTATAAAGTAACCAAATGACTCTATACCCTTTATTTTAGTATTTTTCTAAGCCTATTCTTAGAGTTTTTGTTTTTCAAATAGAATTTTAGTTTAAAATATTATAGTTTCTTTAAAATATCCTCCATTTTAATCCTTTAAAAGTTCTCCACTCGAAAAGAAAATGCCTTTAGTTTTTAGTATTTTTTTTTTTTGAAACCCAAACTACAAATTATATTCTCTATTTTTTTGTTGATTATATCATAAGTTTTATTGAAGGTTTTTTCGCTTTTTTTTTGTAATTTTTGTATTTTCCTTTGGTTTGCTTTAGTTTTTTGTTTTTATTTTTTGTTTTTTTGTTTGTTTTTTTTATGAATTCCTTTTCCTGGTATTTTGTTTGGTAAAGTCGCCTTTATCGGTTTCATTAATCGTTAATAAATTATCTGGTACTTATTCAACTTAAACCATCAGCTGCTTGTATGTTATATTATATAAATGCCACATATGCATATGCACATACCTATGTATATTTTACTGTATACATGTCTATAAATGTCCTGTGTGTGTGTCTTGTGTTTGAGTGTGTGTGATTGTTTAGTATTTTTTTTTTCTGTGTAAACTGTACTTTTTGTTTTTTGCCATCGTATTAGTTTTTTTTCCCCAAAAGTATTTTTTATTTATTTTTTTTTTATCGCAATACTGTTTCGTTAAACGTCTTTTAGCTACGTTTGCTTTCGCAAAGAAAATGCATTATGGTCTTCCCCTTTCTCCAATTTCCGGTTCCTGTTTATTGCATGCTGGTTATCGATTATCGGTTATCGATTATCGATTATCGTTCTACCAAAAAACTGTACTTTTTCTTGCTTTTTCCCGCCCCCCAGCCCTCATCTGGTGTCCTTGTGGTGTGGTGTGTGTCTGTCTGTCTGTGATGTCGCCTGGCTTTTGTTTCAGTGTATTAATTATAAACTTATTGACATATAACACTCGCTTTCTCACTGGTATTTTAGTATTTTACACATAAGTTTCACAAGTTAAGTGTCTCTCTGGTTGCTCGTTAAATTCTTGGATCGTGGATTTCTTTTTACGTTTTCATCTGCGGGGCTAACCTCTAATTTTAATTCATATATATATTTTCTTTACTTTCATACTATATGTTTTTGTATCCGTAGGGGGTCGGGTCGCGGTCGATCTGTCTCTGTGTCGGTAATAAAATTAATTGAGTTCTCTGTCGCTGTTCATAATTACTCATAAGTATATATATATATATCTGTATATATATATATATATATATAGATGTATGTATGTTTTTTTTTTAATTTATTAAATGCTAAATTTCATTTCTTTAGTACGTACTGATTTAATTTGTTATGCTTTCTATGCTTTATCCTCTCATCCCTCCTATTCCTTCTTCTATTTTTTTAATTCCCATTATCGTTATCGGCTTTATCCTTTTTAGCATTCCGTATATATTTTGTCCGTTCTTGCTCTCTCTTTCCTCTCCAAACGCATATCCTTTATCTTATGCTCGCCTTTTTTTTTCGCTATTTTTACATGCCTAGTTTTATTTTGTTTATTTTTTTACAAACTATGATTTGTGTTTGGTTTTCAACTCGTATGCTTGCATATATATCGCTTCATTTATCGGTTATCGGGTATTAATCGTTCCAATTAAAACTGTTGATCGATAAGAGTGTGTGTTTGTGTTTATTTGCAGCCATGGGAGGGACCAAGGACCAAGGACAAAGAGATCGGGTTATCACAAAAGAAAGAGAGACTATCGACTGCTCGCCCGCTCTCTCCTATCGATAGGTTTGCTTTCATGCCGATTGTACCGTTATACAAAGTACCGGAAAGATGAAAGAGAGCGAGGAGAGTTGCCTTTCGATAGAAATCGATAACAGAAGTGATGAGAGAAACCGTATTACTTTAAAATCATACAATTAAAATAAATTCAAAAAAATAATCGATTTATATCGAATCTAAAATCAGCAAGCTAGCCTGAGGTCTAAGGAGGTTTTTTTTAGGGGAATCTTGTCTGTGTGCCGTATTTTACAATTAATGGATTAACCGATATATACAAATACCTAAGAATTACCGGGGGATTCGCTGCTTTTGTTAATTTACTTCCGATTTTTGTTTTCTCTGTTTGGGCTTACAACGTTTCGTGTACTGTACTCGCTTACTTATGCAATATATGTAAGTATATTAAGATGTATGTATATGTATGGCAGTCATTAAGAAAGTCGTTAAGGATTCCTCGTTTACTTATTTCTTCTTAATATTTATCCTTATTATTATACTTCTTTTTCTTTTTACTCATACTTGAATTATTTTATTTTTTTGTTTGTTTTTTTTTTTTGTTCTCTAACAGGTTTAAATCGTACCATTCTAAGATCCTAGATGCTTATACTTATTTTTTAATCTTTTTTTGTTTAGCCATCGGCGTTATTACTGCATTTATAAGTTGATGAAAAAAAAAAAAACGTTAAACATTTAACACACGATTGTATTTTTGGTTTTCATCCGATCAGAGCGTCTAAAATGCATGAGCATAATACATATTACATAATACATATACCATATATATATATTCTAACAAAAAAAAAAAGAGCGGTATTATGGGGTTCATTGGGAGAGTTGGTATTTTTGGTTGGTATATTTTTTCTTATTTTTTTTTCATTCTTTCTTTCTTGAATCGAAGGCGCCACTTGCTTTTAATTTTTTTTTTTAATTTCTTGCTTAGGATAATCTTGTTCATGCTTTTTTTCGTTAAGTGTAGTTCTTGTTGTTCTGGTTGGCGGTTTAGACAAAGACAGAGATACATAAACGGGTGAAAGAGAGAGATGTGACTATTTACAAAAAAACAGCTTTCTAATGTTGCATGTTGCACGTTGCAGGATCCTGTCAGGATGTTCTTGCTGCTACTTGTTATGTGTGTGTGTGTGTGGGCTCACTCGCTCGTTACTGTGGTATCCTTGAAGATGCTCCCGATCCCGATCCTGATCCTGATCCTGATACTGATGATGATCCTGCTCCTGCTCCTACTCCGGTAGCCGTTGCCGGTCATCGGCGTTCATCTGATTCCGATTCGTTTATTAATATTTTTTATTAATATTTTTCCAGGAGGCCATTGGAAGATTGGAAGAGAGGAGGATGGGAGTGTTATATTTCGCATTTTTTGTTGCCTTTTTTTTTCTACACAACTTCCAGATTGTTTCTTTTTTTTTTTTAACAAATAATATTCATAAATGATAAGATGACTAAAAACTAAAACAAGTAAGTAGCTTAAACTATATAGTTGGAATACAAATCATAATCATAAACAGGGACACAATCAATGGCCATACAAATCATATTCAAGTACGAATTTTGTCGTTTCTAGTTTTGGTTTTTCGATCAAAAAATTATATAATTACTAATCCACACACTTAAGAGTACATAAACACACACTACAACACATCGCAGGATATCCTCTCTCGTTATCCTTTCAAATCAAATAATCAAATAATAAATCAAACATAAAATTCCAAAAACAAAAGCAAAGGCTACCAAAGCAAATACCGAAACTAGTATGTAGTAGGGTCTTCGAAGGACCTACCCCGAGGAGCATAAGGACTTGCCGTACTCACCATGACACTGGCCGTCCGACGCTCCTGCCAGCGGCGGCAGTGGCAGCGGCAGCGCCATCGGCAGCGGCTGCGCCGACGCACCACCGACACCGCCCGCCCCCGATCCGGACACCGAGCCCTGGGCCGATGTGGCACTGGCCGCTGCCGCCGCCGCCGCCGCAGCTGCTGCGCTGGACGATGAGACGGCTCCGCTGCTGCTGCTGCCGGCACCGCTTGCACCACCGCCTCCGTTGCCGCCACTGCCGCCGCCGCCGGAGCCACTGGATCCTCCACCGCCGCCACCGCCACCGGCACCGCTGGAGCCCGAGCCGCCGGCACCGGCGTTCGCCGTGGCCCCGGCACCGCTGGTATTGGTCGCCTCGTCCGCCGTGCGCTTGAAGAAGTTGTGCTGCAGGGCGTAGTAGGGGGTGACCCGGGTCTTGGGGTCGAAGTCGAGCATGCGCAGGATCAGGTCCTTGAACTTGAGATAGTCGGAGACGTTGTGGCCCGGCTCGTCGAGGCGCCGACCGCCCGGCCCGCCCGTATCCACGCCGAGTATGTCCTGGAGCTTGCGCGAGCCCGGCGGCTTGTACTTGCGTCCGTTCTGGTTCTTCTTCAGCACATAGGAGCCGTCGGCCACGATCTTGTCGAAGAACTTGCGGGTCTTGTGCGCCTGGTCGAGCAGATACTTGGGCGGCATGCCCAGCACCTCGACGATCTTGTTCATCTGGTCCATTTCGTTGCAGCCGGAGAACAGCGGCTCGCCGGTGTGCATCTCGACCAGGATGCAGCCCAGCGACCACATATCAATGGCCAGATCATACTGTATGCCCAGAAGCACCTCCGGGGAGCGGTAGAAGCGCGATTGGATATAGTGGTAGATCTGAAAGGATATAGTTTTGTTAGCAAACATAAAGTTGTGTCACGGTCGCCATGAAAACTGTGAGCATTGTGTCACGGTCGCCACAAATACTAACCCGCTGTCCCAGCTGACAGGAGCTGCCAAAGTCAACGATCTTGATCGCGGAACGCTTCGGATTGCAGAGCAAGATGTTCTCGGGCTTCAAATCACAGTGAATAATGTTCAGTTCGGGTGTGCTGAGGAAGAGCAGCGCCGTGCACAGCTGCTGGGCGAACTTGCGCGTGAGGTTCAGCGAAACGCCCCGGAAGTTGGTGTTGCGCAGCAGGTCGTACAGGTTGTATGAGAGCAGCTCGAACACCAGGCACAGGTGGTTGCGCCACATGAAGTGCCGCTTGAGCTTGACTATAGTTGGATAAGTAGGTTAATATATATCACAAAAGAAGGAAGGAAATATCATACCGATATAGTATTTATTCTCGGCATCTGCACGGTTCATCATCTCGAGCAGCTTGACCTCGATCTGTGCCTGGTTTAGGAACGGTTTCTTATTCTTAATTATCTTGATCGCCACGTGGCATTGCTCTTCGTGATCGTAGGCCTTCACCACCTGCCCGAAGCTGCCCTTTCCTGTTCGAGATGATATTGAGATTTGTATTGGAATTCATATAGCATGTGATGTGTGTCATATTACCGATTAACGAGTCGATCTCGTAGCGATCCAAAAACTTTTCCCCATTCTTGATTATATAGTCGTGATTATCATCGTCGTAGCCGTCGTTGTACAGCTTCCGCTCCTTCTTGTTGGAGGAGTCATCCTCGCCTTGCGTTTGCTGGGCACGACGCTTCTTTTTCGCATAGTAAACCTTGAAAAATGAAGATCAAGCATTAATTAGTGATATATATTGAAATTTTGAGGGTATTTGATGTTTATTTATAGTCGAATGTATCGATAACTTATCGTATATAACTTTTCTTTGCAATATGGTTATGCTTTTCATAAATTACGGTCGAGGCAATTCTAATCTTTTGATAACCTAAGCTTTAAAGTACAAAATATATGAAATTTATCGATATCTTACCGATAATGTCTTGTGTTTGTGCTTTTCTTATATTTAGATTATGAAAATACTAATCCTTTGAAATATAACATTATTAGATTGTAGTTTACTTGAAATGAACCTATATGTTATCGATAATTTATCGTAAATACCAGTTCTTTGTTATATGGAATGTATTTTCTTGCTTTGAGAACACTTATCTTAGAATATATGTAAGATATATCGATCTTTTATCGATAACTTATCGCAAACGCGAGTTCTTTGTGAAATTTATTATAATTTACAACACTTATCTTACAATAAATAAATCACTTATCGATAGCTTATCGATAATTTATCGTAAATTCCTTTTCTTTCAGAAGTCTCCTATTTTGTTTCTTGCTTTGAGAGTACAAACCTTCCAAATCCTAATCCCATCCCTACCCCTAACCTAACCTACGCCCTGTTCTGAGAGTAGCCCCCCAATTAGGTCCGAAAAGCGCCACCTACAGTTAAACGCCATCTGTCGGCACTCGGCGTAAGCGCGCCATTGATCGATTGTCTAAGAATTCTCCCACAATGCGGGGGGGGGCGGGCTGGTGGGGAAAATTGAATGATTGCAATTTTTTTGCACAGCAAGTGGTAAATTCATTTCCTCTCCGATGGGGCGGACCAGAAGGGGGGAGGGGGAGGGGGGGAGGAAAAAAGTTTAGCCCGTTACTTCCACTTCATCAAAGACAAATGTAAACAAGCTAAATGAGAAAATGCGAAAAATGAGAGAAAAACCGGCAATGCGAAAGAGGGCGACGCCGCCAAGCCGCGGCATCTATCCCCCAGCTTGTCGCCGCAGCTCCACACACACATACACGCCGCCCTTTCTTTTTCTTGGCGGCGGCAGGGCGGTGTGCTGTAACGGTATAAAAAGCTGAAAAAAAAACGGTGCATGCAGCTTGGCGAAAAAAGTTGTTGCTAACGCGGCAAGCCAATGGGGGTGCGAGTGAGATAGCGAGAGTGCGCAGCCAGAGAGAGAGAGCGATTTCAACAACGCCTAAAAGACGGCTGCACAAAATTGGCCAAGCGCTCTCTCGCGCTCTCTCTCCGCTCTCGCCGGTCTGCAAAGCTCGAAAATGGGTGTATGCCGCTCTGCTGACGTCGACTGTTAAGAAGGCAGTGACGTTTTTTTCCTCTTCTGGGGGGGAGCTCTGTAGCGTCACAGTTAATGCGGCTCTCCTGCTCTCTCCAAAAAACCATAGCATACAAAAAGGCGACCAGCATTATGGAACAAAAAATGCAAATGCAACTGTAACTACGCTATAACGGTAGCCAATTGTCTGTCCAAAACACTCCGACCTGCTCCTGAACGGCCGTCAAATGCACATTGAGGCGGAAAATCGGCAAAATCGTTGTAATCCGGACCGGACATGGCCATGCCATGCCGACCAGACCCTGGTAGGGCTGGGCAGGAAGGCGACCTGTCAACAACGGTCAAGCTGATTACCCGCAGAAACATCGATATGTTTCGATCAATTCAAGTGAATTAAACTCGAAATAAATATGTCGGCGCTTCAATTGATGCACTTGTGTGTTTAATTGGATATCGAGCCAGCAATTTTCCATTTGGCTACATTCCAGTTAGTACCATTGCTTATGTAGGTCATTAACATAATCGCAGGACGAGGTTTAATTTTATCGAAAATATCGATTACATAGGATAACTCATAAGAGGAATGGATGAGAAGTTTATCGGAAATATCGATTAAAGAATAATAATTGTAAAGGAAAGGAATTATTAAAAGGAAGATAGTAATAAGGATTAATTATTATATTTTTATCGAAAATATCGATTGGAAAAGCATACATAGAAGACTCATAAAATTAATGGATGAGAAGAACTTAAAGCTGATCGAAAATGTCGAAAAGGAAGAAAGTACTTAGGATTTAGTATGAAACTTTATCAAAAAAGATGATTATAGATAACAGTTTATCGAAAATATCGATTAAAAGAGATAAATATGAAAGTAATAAAAAGAATGGATAATATATAATTAAAAGTTGATCGAAAATATCGAAAAAATGGAAGATATTAGAGATGAAGGATGCAATTTTATTGAAAAAGATTATATATTGAATTCTATTTAAAATATCGATAAATATCAATCTAAGCAAGAGAATAGATAATTAGGTGTTCAATTTCATCGAAAATATCGTTTGGAAAAGCCTAATTACAAAACTTCTTAAAGGGATGGATGAAAAGATACTATATTTCATCTAAAATATCAATAACAGAAGGTATACTCATGGAACTTACTTAAAGAATGTATCAGTAAGTAGAAAAAAAGTCAAAGTCTTAAATGTTATCGATAATATCGATTAAAAAGATAATATTTTCGAAAATAGTAACCAATTCTATGGAAAATATAACCCAACATTATATTCATCAACACAAAGTAAGTTTAAGCCTAAAGTTGATCGAATTTACATTAAATTTAATCGAAATTATCGATTAATAAAAGAACAATTATGGCAGTAGTATCCAAATTCGATTGAAAATATAACCCAAAATGATAGTCATCAACAGAAAGTGAGATCAAGCCTATTGAACCTTAAGTTTGAATAAAAAAGACACATATCCCATACATTTTATCGAAATTATCGATTAATAATAGAAAAATTACGATAGTAGTCATAATTCGATTGAAAATAAACCTCAAAATGATATTCATCGAGCAGAAAGTGAGATCAACACTACTAAAACTTAAGTTTCAATAAAAAAGACACATTATCCCCCACATCTTATCGAAATTATCGATTAAAAATTGAAATAAATGGTTAACTGGGTTACCAAGCAAAAGTTCAAGTTGCTCAGACCCCTGAAAGACATGTGACAAACACCACTCGGAGACTATTAATAAACTTCCAGCTGAATTTATGAATGGTTACGAATGCCAGGCTATTACTGGGGCTAGTTGCTTGTTATTTTCGGGTGACTTCCTGTGACCTAAGTTGCGTGTAATTCGGATTCCCCATCCCCCCCTTCCCCATCCCCATCCTGCACTTGTCAAACTCAACAAACTAAATTATTAATGGACTGTGTGTCTGTGTGGCACCCACCTAGTACCCCACCCCCCACTCGAGGCGAAGGCGAAGAAGAACCGATTTGGGTCGTCGTCATTTTGTCAGAGAGTGTCATGTCGCCGAAACGTCATATCATTCATGACAGGCGACAGTTTCCAAGTATTACTTCTATATATATATATATAGGTATATATAGTATCTCTTCCGACAAACGGTTTTTGTTTAGAAAGTTTCGCCAGGAAAAGCCAGAGACAGTTGCGTGTGGCTCGCATTTTCCTCCTTCTCTTTTTTTTATTTAATTTTCCTTGTTTTTTTTTCTGTCGATTCAGACAAACGTCAATCGAAGACGACTAGGCACGAGTATGGCGGCAGCGAAAATTGACCCCCCAAACGGGTCAAGGACGAGCGTATCTTTAGCTCAGTTCAGCTTTAGCTTGATGCCACAAATATCCGCTGTCAGCACACGGCCAGACCGGCCAGATAGCAACGCATCTCAACAGAAACCCACAAAATTCCGATCGTCATAAGAAAGCAACAAAAAAAATACAAAAAATAAAATAAATAAGAGGGATGGATGCCAAGGTGTGTTTTTTTAAGTGTAAATACAACAAAATTATAAAATAATGCAACCGAAATATTTAGAGGCTTATTACTAAAGCATATTGTAGATGGAGTTCGTTTTAGGCAGTATGGATCTTACTTGTAGATCTTTAGATACTATAGGTCTTAGTTATCGATTTTTAGATCTATAGATACCTTATATCTTTCTAATAGATCTTGAGATACTGTAGGTCTCACTCAATGATCTGTACTATACTGCATGACTTACCTCTAGATACTACAGATACACCGAATCATACTACAATACCTATAGATCCTATAGAACTGACCTATAGAACTGCAGGGGTTACCACTAGATACTATAGATACTAGATACCGAGTCGTATTAAAAGACTTATCGATACGTTATAGGTATCTTACTAATAGTTCTTTAAAAAGTATAGATCTAACTTATAGATCTGGAGATACTATAGATCTTACTTAAAGATCTCTATAGACTTACTTATCCTCTTACTTTTACTCTTTTGTATAGAACCTCTTCTAGATATATAGATCTATATATACCACAGATCTAACTAACAGATTTGCAGGTCTTGCTAAGAGACCTATGTATATACCTTCCTATAGATCATACTTATAGATCTTAAGCTACTACAGATCTTACTTCAAGAACTATAAATCCTATAGAACGCACTAATGGAGTTTTAGAAAACATAGTTTCGACTGAAAGATCTATAGAACCCTATATCTTACCTAAAAATCTATGGAAACCATAGATCTCACCATAGAATTATAGTTCTTTCTTATAGATCTTGAGATTCTTTAGGTCTTTTCTGTACTTTTCTATATTTTAAGACACTATAGGTTTATAGATAATCTATTATAATACTTAGAACACTTGAGATACTAAAGGTCTTAGTTAAAGATCTGTAGATATCATAGGATATCTTCTTTCTTCTAGATTTATGGAAAGACCGAAGAACTCATTCACTTCTCACCCACAAATCTACAGATACCTAAACTATACTTCTTTCTTATAGATCTTAAGATACTATATCTCTTACTACCTCATTCCTATACCTTAAGATGCAGTAAGTCTATAGATCTTACTTATAACACTTGAGATACTATCGGTCTTCTTTGAAGATCTATAGATAACACAGTTTCCATTCAAAAATCTACAGAACCATATATCTCACTTATAGATCTACAAATCTATAGATACTATCTATACTTTTCTAATTTATTGAAACTTTTATGATCTCGAACACCTCATAAATAAGAAACCTCTCATAAACTGAACATTTCCTATATATATATCCAATATCTATAGATTCTTAAGTATTCTAGCTATATCTAAGAGATCCAGTTTTATAACTCACCTCGTTGATGTGCTTGTAGGTCTTTATCAGATCGACACTCAGCTTGCGCAAAGGACCCGAGGCGGGGTCGCGAAAGTGGGTGGGGATGCGGGCCTGCATGGCACGCACCTCTGACGAAGACGAGGGACTAGAGTGCTGCGGGGGGATCGGAGATGGTTTTCAATTAAATTTTATATTTTTTTATAAAAACAATAAGAAAAAAGGGTATCAAGTATTCGACTTACGTGGTGCATGACATCCCGGTGTGTGGCGGGCAGGTCCTCCTCGACAACGAAGCGGCCGTAGAGCGGGGCATGCCGCTGCCTGCCGCCGCCGCCGCCACCACTCCCGCTGCCCTGCGCTGCATCGACGACGGCGACGCTGCCCGCGCTGGACCCATAAGCGGATACTGCAAATACAAAGATACAGATACAGAATATAAAACAGAGATACAAAGATACAAAGATACAGATACTGTGATGGCATTAGTATTAAATCAAAGCGGGAGAGAGAGAGAGAGAATGAGAGTGGCCGATGGCAGCTTTGGTTCATTGACCGGATCGGATCGCTGCCCTGCCCCCTGCCCCCAGCCCTGGCCCCTGGCTCTGCTCTGCTCTGCAGAATGCACCTGTTTTCGCGCACACCTGACGACGTCAGCGCCCGAGAATTGCCAAAACGATGCCAGAAACAAAAACAAAAACAAAGCCAGGAGGCAGGTGGAAGGTGCAAGGTGGCAGGTGGCAGGAGGAATTAAAGGAAATCAACACTGACAAAAAAAACTAGTACCTTGTAATACTAAAAAGGTACTAAACAGTCGCATGAGATTTTAAAATATTATTTTAGTTTTTTTTTAGATTTAGTGTTTAAAATGGTTAAAAAAAATAATGGTTAAATATTCATAGCCAATACTTGTTGAGTTAAAGGTTAAATATTATTTTAATATAGTATAGTACCTTAATAATATAGTATAGTATAATAGAGTATAATACCTATAGTACCTTTCAGAGTTGAAGGCTATATATAGAACCTAAGGTACCTTTCAGCCCTATACCCTCCAACTCTGATGGGTAATATAGCTTGAAAATATGGTATAGTATAGTACTAGTACTACATAAATATAGTATTTAGAGTTTTGGTCCTTCGAGCCTACATAAGTGCTACTATAGCACTAATATTAATGACAAAGTCGAGGTTCTAACTTATTACTTCCTTGTTTTTAAAGTTTATTACCACTTATTTCTCTTTATTTTTTTATTATGTTATTATTATTTGATGAAGACTCTCCTAAGTTTAAATATTCAATTCAAGGTCGAAGCTTCTTAATTTTTCTTACTTTTCTTTAAAGAATTAATTATTATTCCCATTTTCTTATTAACCTATATTAGTATTCCCTATTTTATCAATTATTTTATCTATTAATTGTCCTTTTATAGTCAAAAAGGGGGCTTCTATATTTCAGTTTTTAAAACTTTAAACATTCAAGTCAAGGTCAAGGCTTAAACCCCTCACTTTTCCTATTTTTTCCTCACTTGCTTTATTATTTTAGATTATTACTATATACCTATATATATACCTTTATATATCCATAAAGATACTAATTAAACAGTAATATATAATTCATTAATTTTTATAATAATTTCTGCGAATTATACCCCCTAAGAAATTCTTCTCACTGCACTGTCCGAGGGGGGCAAGCGCGAAAAAGAGTCACCATAAAGAAAGAGTGCTCTACCTTAATTTTAGACCAGACGGAACTGAAATTATTACACAATATGCAGGCGGCGGCGCGGCACACACATAATTTCCCCGTTAGTGGTTGAGTGTCTCTGCCACTTTTCTCAGTTTTTTTTTGTTTTTTTTTTGGCTTGGCTTGGGTTGTGCAACAAAAATAGCCACAAAACGATATAAACAAGCTATAGAGGGGCAGGGTAAGATAGGTGGTTTCTTATTCTTTTTTTTTTGGTATTTTTTTAAGGGTGAAGAAGACTGGCAGGGAAAGCAGCTGTGTTTATGCTGCTAAACCCGAGCTAATGATATTGCATTTCATCAGCACACTCCTCGCACAACAACAGGTGACGACGGAAACCCGATCGAAACCCAAACAAATAAACAAAAATTGAAAACCCAAAACCAAACAAGACCTCAGCCAGGCTGTGTTCCGGCCAATAAAGCTATTAAGGTGGAAAGCAATTGAGTAATTAGGAAGTCACTTGAATGGGAAACGTATTAAGATGAGACGTACATTGTGAGGCAGTTCCCTAGCCAATACTAGTATTTTCTAATTAGGAATTATTATTTTTTGATAGAAGCTGCCCCTTGAAAATAGCCTTTCTTATAAAGATTACTATTATGTTGTCAGTGTAGGGACTGTTCTATCACAACTTCCTCCTCCTTTTGGTCCTTCGAGACTAGGCTGTACATTATGGGCCAGTTCTCCGTAGAAACTAGTATTTTCTAGTATTAGTATATAAACTAAAACAAAAACCCTAATATAGACCTCTGTGTAAGCTCACAATTATATGAAAAGCGTAGAACTTCCTCTTGCTTTTGGTCCTTCGAGACAGGGTTTAGACCTGTCTCTCGTTTTTGGTCCTTCGAGACTAGACCGTACAATATGCGGCAGTTCTCCACAAAAACTCGTATTATCTAGCCTACCCCTAACCCCTAATATAGACCTTCATGTAAGCTTACAATTATATGACAAGTGTGGAGCCTGTTCCGCCACAACTTCCTCTCGCTGATGGTCCCTCGAGCCTGCAACCGTTTCTAGTTCCTGTTCCGGTTTGGGTGCCGGTTCCGTCTCCGGTTGCGACCACGTCCATGCCGATTTGGGGTATATTATCGAACCCATCTGGCAGTGATCCTCCTCCTCCAGCTCCTCGGGATAATTGCTGTAGTTGCAATCGTAGTCGTAATTGTAATTGTAGTTGTAATTGCCATTATTCGTTGGCCAATTTCTGACACGATGCTGACAGCCAATTTGGGCCAGATAATTGATGTAATGAACAGGAGGCGTCTTGCCTGGCGTCTGGGGCACGATTCTAATTGCCCTGCCACCAGGTGGTGGTGCTAGTAGGGATTGTGATGCACCACCAGCACCCCTGGGTGTCCAATTGTTGGAGCTCCCACTGGTGCTGATGGTTGAGGACTCTCCTCCATTTATATTATTGTTATTTTCACTCGTTTGCTGCCAAAACACCAAAACAGCTGACATTTTAGAATTGTTTTTTAACTTTGTTTTTTAGTTAGTTTAAAATTTAAACAAATTGCAACACACACGATCTGCTGCGAATGAAAATTGAATGCAAACTGTCGCCGTTTCTGCCACACACTTGCCACACTCTCTCGCCGATTCTGTCGTCTGTTTTATTTTTACGAGGAATCTCGTACCTCCACACCGTACCTCCACCGTACCACCATGTTCTGTCGTTGCTTTCTGTTTTCTGCTTTATTTTATTTTACTTTTATTTTTACATGTTTTTTTTATATTTTATTTTGTTTTGAAAGTGCATTTCGAGAGAAAGAGAGACCCCAGAAAGAAATCGTGTGAGAAGCGATCGTGTGAGATCATTAAGTATCTTATGATAATGATAATTATAGTGATAACGCAAGGTAGCTAGAAACCCCTCTTGTGATTCATAAAGTAAGTAATAATAAATACTTCTTAAATAAATAAATAAAAAATAATATAAACATAAGGAGAGTAGAACTTGAGCCTCCAAGTTCATGAACCATTCCCAACCAGACCTCTTCCTGGTCAAAAGCATGCTTTTTTTTTGTGGCTCGTTATCTGGAGGGGGGTAGAGGGGTAGTGGGTGGCTTCCTACTGATTGGGACACCCACCGAGTAGTAGAGTTGCGCTTTCGAGATAATGAAATTTCAATAATGACATGTACTGGAGTTGAAAAAAAAGTGTAGTTCCACTGTACTTGTACAGTACTCTTCCTCTCCGCTCCTCTCCTCTCTGGCAGATAAATTTTCATTTCTTTGTTTCTGCTTTTTGCGTCTTCTGGCTGTGTGTGTGTGTGTAGATGTGTGTGTGTCGTCAAGTCAAGGAAATAATCAAAACAAAGCAAGCGAAATGTGAAATTAAAATAAAATGTAATTAACCCCAGACGGAGGCACACAGTGTACAGTGCGGTACGAAACTGTAATAGTCTGAAGCGAGGGGAGGTAATTGAATGAATGAAGGACATAAACGTGTCCTTAAGAGTTTCTTTTGGGAATTATTATTAAAAAATTAAAAAAAATGTATGCGAATAACAGAATAAAAGAGTTTGTAAAACAAAAGCATGCTTTTTTAAGAAAAAACATAAATTTTTGAACAAAAAAGCATGCTTTTTGAAAATAAAGCCTAAATTTTAAAGAAAAAAGTATGCTTTTGGAAAATAAAGCATAATTTTCGAAGAAAAAAGCATGCTTTTCAAGAAAAAAATCACTACTTTTTGGGGATAAAGCATCGATTTTAAGATCCAACAACGACTTTTTAAGGAAAAAGCAGGATTCTTAAAGAAAAATTCATTTTTTTTAATGAATAAGCATGCTTTTTAAAGAATAAAGCATGCTTTTAATGGAAAAAGCATGCTTTTAAGTGAGAAAATCTGCTCTTAATAAAAAAAAAAGCACGTTTTTAAATAAAAAACCATACTTTTCCAAGAAAAACGCATAATATTTTAAGAAGAAAGCATTTTTGTTTGAAAAGAAAGAATTTTTAAAGAATAAACACAATTTTCATGAAAAAGCATGCTTTTTACTACTTTTATAAAAAAAAAGCATGCTTTAAATAAAAAAAGTAAGCATTTTTAAAGCTAGAAAAAAGTAAAAAAAATATAAAATATTTCAATTCGAATATTAGTTAGAATAAAAAAGCATGAAAACCTAAGGAAAAAGCATGCTTTTTAAAGAAAAAAAAATCATTTTTAGCTAAAAAAAAAAAGTGGACTAGAAGAACCTTTTTTAAAAGCTTTTTAAGTAAAAAATTAAACCAAAAGTCAAAAAATCCAAATCCAAATCCAAGTCTAAATAATAAATGAACTTTGAGCCCCAAACCCCCCAAAAAAGCAGGAGACTAGCTCCTATTTGAATGTCTGCCTCAAGTCGAAACCAATTGAAGATGTGGATCTCTCCGAGCCCCAGAACCCATCCTCTGTGTCCCCATCCTCCTGCCCCCCATACCCCGTCCTCCCTGCGAATGCCACCGCGAGACCGAAAACCGAAAATAGTTGACGACATTTTGCGTTTTTTGTCGTATTTTGGGGCCAGGAATGGGATCGGATCGGACACCGAACAACCTCTATCGATAATTGCCGGGGACTCTGAACCGAGAAAGGGGGTGGGGGTACTGCGACTGACATCCGGAGTGGCGCAGGTGAGTCACACATCCCCCCGTCCTCAGTGGATTGCAGTTGTCTGTCTGCAGTTGACAACTTTATGAACAGATGGCGCCAGCTAATCAGCCACAAGAGCCCCAAACCGGAGACCGAATACCGAAAACCACCATGCCTCATGCCACTTGCTGCTCGGCTGGGAGACAGGCAGGCGGAGAGGCAGTGCCGGAGACAGGGCGGAGACAGTGAGGGAATGCCAGGTGAGTGATAAGCAAACAGTTGACAACACAGCACACTATTTGCCGGCTGAATGGAGTGACATTGTTGCACTTTCGTACTAGAAGTAGAAGTAGAAGTAGAAGTACTAGTAGAGGTAAGTACACAACACCCTACACCTTGGGGCTCCAACCAGGAAACCAGAGATATGCCAGAAGATAGCCCCCATAGTCGAAACAGTCGAAAGCCTCTCAGAAACTATTCTTGGAAGGGTTTCCCTCAAAATAGGTATCTATAGGTTCTTTAAAATACTAGATACTATGAAAGATTAAATGACTTTCCAGAGACATGAGGCTTATGGTGGGGTTTTCTTTTTAGGGATCAGGTTGCTTCCCAGCCCCATCGAGGTCTTTCTTCTAAAAGGAAACTAAACACCAATCAGGCCACTTCCCAGAAACTGCCACTCCAGAGGAGGCCTCTCGGTCTCTGTATTTTGATTTTAATATTAAGGGGAAGTACACGAATATAACTACGGAAGCTTATCGAACTCGTACTCGTCAGATGCTTAAATTTTAGGTACTTTTTAAAAAGGTTCTTTGTGTATTTCTCTTAGATAAGAGTACCCCCTTTGCGAAACTATTCATCTTATAAGGTTTAATACCATTTAAATGAGATTTTCTATTTTTATAGAGTGGAATACCCACTAGAAAATACTTTTCTTTAATTATTATGGCTTTTTTTAAGAACCGTCCTAAAACCGAGTATTTTCCCTCCAAAAATGGGGGGTTTTCCATGTAGTTTATCTTGACTGTAGATCAGAATAACCCCTTAAGAGTTTATTTTTAAAGATTATGATTTTTTTTTTATCATAAAAGCCTCTAAAAAAATCTTTTAAGATTGAATCATAAATTTAGTTCATTTTATGTAGCTCGGGAGCTTTCCTAAAAACGAGCATTTATCTTTATATTTGTTTATTTCATATAGGTTGGAAAACATCTTAAATACTGGTATTTATGTATGAAATTATTTTAATTTCAATACCTCTAATATTTTTCTTCAAATATGTTGTGTTTTATGTCAGAATACCCCTTTATTTTTATATATGAATATCCCCTCCCTAAAAACAAGTATTTATCATCTACATATGTTTATTTTATCCAGATCTTAATAGATTATAGATCATAGTACCCCCTTAGAATTTAGGATTTAAAGTTTAGAGTTTATATAGGGAGTAGAGTTATATAGAGTTTAGATAGATCATAGATCTCACTAGATCATAGATCCCTTTATAGAACCCCCTTAGGGTTTATTATTTTGTATACAGTTTAGATCTTATTAGATCATAGAGTATATTACCCCCTTAAAATTTGTTATTTCGAGTTTGGATTTTATATAGAGAGTGGAATTATAGGATTATTATTTTAGTTTAGATCATAGCAGATCATACATCGTAGTACCCCCTTCGAAATACGATCTATTTTCTACTCTCTCTGATCTCTGATATGATTTTCGATATGTTTCAATAAATACTTAAATATAGTGATAATAATACTTACACTTCTGTTTGTTCTTATCCATAACGCCGCCGCTATTCGTGTCCTCTAATCTATACATGGGGACTGCTGTTGTGGGGGGTCTTGGGGGCGTCGATTAATGAGCTACTGTTTGAGGGTTTGGGGTTTGGTTTCCGTGTGTTTGTTGTGTTTTGTTGTATTTGTTTACTTCCTAGGTATAATTTATATTAGAGCATGCTCTCGACATATACATATATATGTATATAGTTGCGTTTACATATATATATTGCGTTATTGGTTCATACGATTTGGATAGCTTTTTAGGGAAATTAATTGATTTTTTTATGATATAATTAATTATTATATAATTATTTAATAATTTAGCAATACGTCGGATTTGGTTTTAATTTTTTTTTACTTAATTTTTAAATCTATAAATTAAATAATTCTTGCTTTCTGGTTGTAGTTGTTGTCGTTGTTGTTTTTTTTTGTTTGTTCGTTAATATATTTTATGTATTTTTTGAATGGTATTTTGAATATATATATTTATTCTTTAATATATATAGTTGTTTAATTTTTTTAAGTGTATTTTTTTTTGTGTCGAATACTTTAGTTGTTGTTGTTTTTTAGTTTTATTTTTTTCATTTAAAATTATGAACACACGATTTCAAGTCTTTTGTTTAAATTATTCCTTTTTTTAATTATTTTATTTTTTTGTCACATTTCTTGATTTATTTTTTTAAATTAAAAACATTAAAAAATAATAGTACTAATTTTATTTTTAATTTTAGTTTTTTTTTTTATTTTAGACGTGTGTGTGTGTGCTCCGATGAAAACAAATACACGCACACACACACATACACACACGCACCGCTCCACACACACACCACCAGAGGGGGAATCTTTGAGAGAAAAAGAAAGGCTTTCTTCTTCTAAGGCTTTCTTCCCTTTGGGGTTTTTTTCTGTTACTTTTGTGTGTTTTTTTAATTTTATTTTTATTTTTTTTTTTTTATATTCTTTGATATTTGATTGGAATTCTTCTTCTTCTTCAAGTTATCGTAGTTTTCGATTCATTGTAATTTTTGGCCACTTTCCTAAACATTTTGCATTAACATTTTACGCACAATTATCAAATTTTAATTTTAATTTTAATTTTAGTTTAAAAATTATGATTTAATGATAAATATTTGTCGTCACGCTTTGTTTACAAAAAACTGTACTTGTTGTTGTGGCTGTTCATCCTGTGTTGGTTGCTCCCGTCTCTGTGTGGCATGCAACGCTGGGAGCTGTTTCCTTTTCCGCTGATGGGGGCTGTTACTGTTATTATTGCTCTGAAATCAAAGAAGAAGAGAGAGAAAGGCGGTTGCCTAATTAGCTAATTGAATTATTTATTGATGCAAAAATAAGATGTGCAACGTATGTGGCAAGTACTGGGTGGCAAGAGAGCGGCGGCAACTGCGGCGCAAATAATAATAATAAATAATAACAATCGCGAGGAGGAGCAAACACGCGCTCTGTTAACGCGCTGTTAACGCTCTCTTGTTTTCTTACAGCTCTCTTTCTCGTCCGCTCCCTCTCTGTTCCGCCCTGCCTGATACCAAAATCTAAGAGACTAATTATGAAAAGAGAGTACCAATCTTTGATCTCAAAGATTTTGGACTCTCTTAGTGGCGCTTGGCCTTAACCCTTTCCCTTTTCTTCGCCCTTTAACCCTTCGGATGGTGCGTTTTTTTTTGGTATCAAATGGCATTAGTCTGTTGCCAAGGCGAGTGTTTTTGATTTGCGGCGCTGACTTTAATTACAAATGCTGATTAACCCTTACAATATGCAATATACGTGCACAGTTATTTTAATGAGAGACCCGGCTGGCTGGCTGGCTGGCAACAACAACAACAACTGCCAGTAAACCTCATGCTTTTGCTTTTAATTTTTCTATTGTTTTTGTTTTTGTTGTTTTGGTGAAAGTGGCATTATTAGCTGCTCCTTTTTTTTTTGCTCTCTTTCTCGCGATTTTGTTGCCAAGCCAAATAAAAAATGGAAATGGAATTGAGCAGCCAGACATTGGGCAGCCTTCAGGGTAGCCACCCCTGACTTTGAAGCAAAAAATAAAACAAAAGAGTCCTGCGCTGGTTTCTCACAACAAAAAAAGCATAAAAATATTAAGAAAGTGGGGAGGGTAAGGGATTTTTATTTAAAAAATAAATTTAGACAAATCCTTGCATACTAATAATACTAGAATACAATTAAACCAATTTTAATACTAAAATTATATAAGAAAAATGCAATAAATACTAAAACAAAACAGGATAATGGTCTAAAAAAAGTTAATTTATTAAAATATTTTAGATTTTAATCATATCTACTAACTATAATACATATAAACTAATATAAGCAATTAAAAAATCTTAAATTAAATACTTTCTTAAATCTTTATATGAAAACCTTTAAAAACAAAGACCTTCTGCAGTTCTCCTGACTCCTCTGCATAAATAATTCAACCAGTATAAGGGTTAACCGGCAAAATAAACTCAGAAACCAGTTTCTTGAAAAAAAAAAGAAAGAAGAAGAAGAAGAAATACCCACAACTGCAGTCTGAGAATTGTGAATGATTCTCGAAAAAAAATGCGTCATTCTTATGCATTTTTTTTTATTTATTTTTTTTTTTGCTGACTAATAAGCAAATTAAGTAAAAAAAAATAAATAAAAATAAAAACAAAGTAATCCCCAATCAAGGAAAGGCATCATCTCACCTCTCCTCTACCCCCCTCCCTCCCTCTCGCTCTCTCGCGGCGATCATGCGGCCAACGAGTGTTAACGTTTCGGGGTTAACCCATTGTTGCCAAGTGACTGACTGACTGATCTGATAAGAGAGAGCAGGGGGGCAGGGGAGGAGGGGGGACATGGCCGAGTGACGTCATGGCCGGTCAACCGCCCGACCGGGCCGGTCATTTGACTTTTCACACTTTCTGGCTTTAGGGCAGGGGGAGGGGCAGGGCGTTATTTTCATTTATTTTTAGACCCGACCAGCAGTCGCTACTTTTGTGCATGCTTCATCATTTATTTTTGGGGCCAACAGCCACACTGCCACGCCACCAGAAGCAGCAACAACAACAACAACAACAACCAGCCACCGAAATGCGAAAATTGCGGAAAATTGTATGAAAATCGAGAGGCAGCACCACAGCCCCACACACACCCACGCACTTGTATGAGAAAAGCTGAGAAAAAAAAGTCACAGAAAGTAACAAAAGAGCAAGCTAATTGAATTATTTTGAGAGTAAGTGACAACCCTGGTCTTTGAAAAGTTCCAAGTTTTTTCTAAAAAAAATACTTTTGGGGGGTTTTTAGATGAGATTTGTACCAAATAGGGTTTCCAACTATTAGTATATATCCAGTATTATAATACTAGAGTTGCCAAATAACAACTAGCATAGTATTATTTAAAATAATTTTTAAGGAAGCTAATGAAAGACTTTGTTTTCTAATATTTTTAAAAATATTCATAATACTAGCTACAAAACAGAGTTGCCAACTAACAAATTATAATATCTACAAAACAGGGTTGTCAACTGTGAAATGATAACAAAAGCTTAGAAACAGAGTTGTCATATAACAGACTGAAATAATAAACATTAAGAAGAGTTGCCAACAACTAAAAGGATAGCTAAAATATTGCTTAAATACATTTAAAACAGAGTTGCCAGCTAAATAATAGTAAACATCAAATAAATAATAAAAGTAAACAAATAAATGATAATATTATTACTAGAAAATAATACAAATAATACCAATAACTAAAAAAAAAAATAATACTACAAGAGTATTACTACAAATTAATACTAAAAATACTAAAAAGTTATATACTACAATTAGTATTAAGTAGTAAAGTATTTTTTTAATATTTTTCCCTTGCCTTGCAGTATTTTGTAGGTCTACAAAAGAGAAGAGAGGTCTACTAAGAGAGCACCCCTTTAGGAGGCCCCACTGTCCCCCCGATCTTGGCGACTTTGCCCAGAAAAACGCACAAAAAAGAAATAAAAAAAAAAGGAAAGAAAAAGAAAAAAAAAAAGAAGAAAGAAATATATAAAAGTTTATGATCGGCGGCGGCGTTGCCGTTGTTTGACGTCAGAAATGGGTTTATCTGTCTGCATGTGCGTGTGGGAGTCTATGTGTGTGTGTGTGTGGCTCACTCTCTTTGGGGCCTCACTCTTCTCAGCACCACCACCCACCCACTGACCAGCCCAAACACCCACATGAAGCAGAAGACGGAGCGTCATGTGGTGACCCAAATAGTTCGTGTGACTTTTTTCCATTTACTTGCCCCATGCCCCATGCCGCATGCCACTTGCCACTTGCCACGTTTTTTAATTCAATTTGTAACTAAACTAATAAATCAAATAAATCAAGAGCTTTTTCTTCTTTTCTTTTTTTTTTGGTATTTTTTTTTTTATTAAATACTTTTCTTGCAGTGTATATGTGCTCCAGATTTTTTTTTAGTTTTTTTTTTAGGGTGTCTACTAAAAATACTTGGCTGGCGGTTTTCGGCTTCTTTCTTTCTTTATTAGTATCGCTGATTAACCAAAAATAACAAAAATAACAAAAATCGGGGAACCAAGACAGCAGAACTTCGCTAAGTTGAACCTCAACTTTGACTTGAGGTCTCGATTTTAATTAATTGGCAATTAGGTGGCCCAGAATGGGTATCAAGTTGGGGTGATGGAGGGCCTATCTGGCATAAGTATCGTCGTTAGGAAACTTGATTTAATTATCTATTTTCTTGAGGGGGTAATCTCGTATAAAAATAAGGATTATACTAAACAAATTATAAAGGTTTATGGAGTGTATTTTTCCAATTTTTAATATATTTCAAAATTATTTCAGTATTTTAATTAGATATTCAAATATTATTAGTCTATATTTTAGTATTTTTGGTGTATTATTATAGTTAGTATATATCTACTAGTATTTTTTAGTATATAATATAATATTTTCAATATACTTGGTACACATTGAAGTATTTTGTAGCAGTATTTTGGAGTATTTGTAGTATACTTTGTTTAAAGGAATACTAAGTATTATTTGAATTTGGTATATATTTCAGTGTATTTATGAATTATTTTGATATTATTCATATTTATCACATATTTTAGTATATTTCAGTGGGTATTTAACTATTATAAAGTCTAGTATATATAGATTTATAGTATTAGAAAAATATACTAGACAGAAAACTTTCTCGAGAAACTGTTTCAAAGTCGTAACCATAATAAACCTTTGTTTATGGTATTTTTTGAGAATTTCCTTTATAAAATATAGTATTTCCTATAAAATACAAAATGTATACTAAACTAATACTAATACTAATACTGTAGTATCACTCCATATAAATGCTATGATACGATGATTGTATGATAATATTATCCATATCTTTGATAGAAACCCCTCTTTAGTATTTTAGTAAAACCTAGTATTTTTAGTATTTAATAAAATCTTTAATTTTTGCATTTATAATTTATACCACCAAGCTTTAATAATTTATTTTATAAAAAAAAAATACCAGAAACTAGACCAGAAATCTCCCCTAAAGACGCTCCACTGTAAAGAACAGTATTTTCATATTTTTTTTTGCGTTTTGGAAAGCAATTTTTCAATGGAAGATTGTGCCAAAGAATTCGTGCTTTCTTCCCTCTCCCTTGCTCTGCTTCTGGCTTTCTTCCCAGCTGCTGGTGGCTCAAGTGCGTAGTAGAGCGGAGAAAGAGAAGAGGAGAGAGAAGAGAGGAGAACAGAGAAAGGTGCGGGCAGGGAGAAGAATGAAGAATTTGAATTCTAGACTGACTGGCCAGGTTTATTTTAATTTTTATTTTTGTTTTTCTCTCTTTCTTTTTCTTTTAATTTATTTTTTTATTTTGTTTGCATTTTTTTTTTTTGTGTTTATTTTTTTTTTGTTCAGCTTGGTTCAAAGTTCAATGACCGATTTTGCCTTTAAACCGAAACTGAAACGAAACAAAGTGAGCGGCGCAGTCGCAGAGAATTCTTCGCTCTCCGAAGAACACACACGCACACATTCTCCGAAGAATTATAAACACAAACACAAGGTCAGTTAATAAAGTTGATTTTTTTCGCTCAAATACGCAATAGCGCGAAAAATGTGCAAATATTAAATATAAACACCAACAAGTGGCAGGTCAGAGGGGGGGGGGGGGGTGAAGCGAAAGTCCCAGTTGTGGGAGGGCTGGCTCTTCTTCTGGAAGTCTTCTTGTAGAATTCTTCTTGTGAAATAGTTCGTTCTTTTGGTATATTTTTGATTTATTGACTATAATATATATCTTTGTAATCTATAGTATTTTTGGTATATTTCTATATATATATACTTTCTTTATCTATATCTCCTGGATGTCGGGTGCTCTGTATGGTAATTCAAAACTGCGCATTCATTCATTGACGGATGACTGCGACGAGTTCGCAGCTCCGACACTGGCACTGGCATTGAAAACCCGACCCTGGCAGTAAAAAATAAAAAAAATAAATAGAGAGAGAGAGGCGGAGAATAAGGAAGGAAATCTACAGGAATCTACAGGAAAAATACTGCAATTCTTTATAAAAAAAAAAGAACAATATATAGCTTGAAAAGTATTTAGGAAATAAAATGTAATGAGGTCTTTGTTTAAAAAAAAATAATGAAAATTAATAAAAAATTATATATAAAAAAGAACAATGAATACAAAAAATAATGGATAATAGTATAGATTGATAATAATAGAAAAATGACTTTGAAATTAACCTAATTCTGTTAAAAACAATAATATTCCAGGAAATAGAATAATTCTATTGATATTATTATAGATATTATAATAGAGCTATAGAGCTACTATAGTACCTTTATATTGTAAATATCTATAAGCTGTCCACATTATAGATATTACATTATTGACATAGATATATATTACAGATATCTGTATAATAATATAATACAGAAGACTAATTACTAATATTCTATAGAAGATATAAATGAAGATATGAAAAATACAATACATACAAAGAACCAGAAGAATATATCTATCTGTATACAAATATTTATATATATTTTCTTCTATATAATACACAAAAAAAAAGGAATAGAATTCAAGGTATATCCTTGTGTTCCAAAGCATCTCAGAACCTTTTTTTTTTGGTATTTAATGAGTATTTTCCAAGTATTCTCCAACCATAATATGGCAGAAGTTCAGACCTTAAGATATCCTCATTCTCATCATCCACTAATATACTAACTACTAATAATTAATAAAACTTAATAATGAGAGTTAAAATTCTTGCATTTTCTCAAAGATTTAACTGAGACTACCCCCTTGGGAGATGGCCCCTGGCCTACATTCTCTATTTAATGCCGTTATTTATAGTATTTGGTATTTCCATGTATCATCTATCACTCGCCCGGCCAGTGATTAGAAAAAGTAAACAAATAACAAAAAAAATAATAAAATAATAATAAGAGAAAATAATAATCAGAAAATGCTTTCGCTCTCGGGGAGCCAGCTAGCTGCACGTGTAGAGCATCTGACAGTCTTGCAATCCTCTCTCTCCCCCTCCGCCCCCTCCGACCCGATTATTTAATGCCACACGTGTTGGGTGGGCTGGTGGGTGGCCTGGTGGGTGGCCTAGTGGGCACTGGCTGCGTCAAAAACGCAATTGCGCAGCGATTGGGGGGCGACTAATGGAATATATTCTTGATACGCATTTAGCCGCCAACTTAATCGACTCGGGATCTGGGAAATCAAGGTGTCAGTCAGGGGGCATGTGGCAGGCACTCCTCGCTGCAACAAGAAATTACCATTTGCAGATGAAGAAGAAGAAGAAGAAGCAGAGGCGAGAACAAGGTTGCAAGAGTCACTAATTGCCACCTCGGATGCCATCTAATTGCATTTCGAGATTCAATTTCGAGAGGGAGCTAAAGAGGTAGTTGGAATAGTACTAGCTATACCTCTATAGAACCTCTACCGATTCTAGTGAAATCTTGGGGGAGGATGTATTATACATAGAATACTATATCTTTAATATTTCACTTGAGATCTGATGAGTTTTTTACGAAATAAACATAAAATTGTCATGAAATCTTCAAAGAGCTTATACATAACTCGAGAAAGCCTCTACCGATTGAAACGTAACCTTGAGGGAGTATGTATTATACATTTTAGATTATAAACATATACTTTTAGTTAAGATTCCTTCTATATTTCAACCAAGAAACATGAGATTGTCAATAAAAGCTCCTATCCTTCATCCATAACTCTATAAAACCTTGATTGATTCATCTGAAATCTTCACAGAATGTTCAGAATAGATAATACCCCATACAAGTCTAATTTTCTTTGAGATCTATAATATATTTTCTTAAATAAACAAGAAAACTCAAAGAGGACTACCCATAACTCAGCAAAACCACGATCGATTGAGCTGAAATCTTCAACGATTATGTATAATGCATAATATTCTATAAAACTCTCATTATACTTGAAATCTTTAATGTATTTTATGAAATAAACCTGAAATCTTGAACAAACCCACCCATAACTCAGCTAAACCTCGACCCTAAGACATGAAATCTTCACAGAATATGATATACTGATACTACAACATCCCAAGTCCCTTTTTACTTGAGATCTATGGTGAACTCTGGAAGAAACCCACCCATAACCCATAACTCAGAAAAACCTCGACCCATCTGTCTGAAATCTTCACCAAACATGTATGGGCATGTTTATACACCTCAAAACTAGCATTTACCTTGAAATCTGTCTCAGATTTAAAAACCCAATCCAAGATTGCTTTGAGAACTCGATCGCATCAGAAGCCTGAACCAAAATGAAGCTATTTCTCCCGCTACTTGTACAAGTCCTCCTGCCACTAGTCTCCGGCTACCGGTTCTCGCCCAGCTACTTCCACAACCTGGACACGCCCTACATGGAGGAGGGCGCCTCCTTTCTGGAGACCGAGGAGTGTCCCTCCGACGAGAGCAGCTGCGAAGGCGGCGAGGAGACCAGCTGCACCCCGGAGCTGTACCCCACCACCACTTTCAAGCCCCTCGACGGCTGTGGATCGGAGCTGGACACTGGCCGGGAGGGGTATGGAGCTGGAAGTGGGATGCGAGGACCTAGCGGCTGTGGAGCACCCGACCCCTGCAGCGATGGGCCCGACAAGCAGAATCCCCGCCTGCAGGCCACCTCGATCGCCCAGAACGCCGCCCAGGTGGCCAAGGCCGCCAACGACGCCCAGATGGCCGCCGCCCAGGAGGCCGCCCGCCAGGTGAAGATGCAGCTGGCCGACAAGGCGCTGGCCGCCGCCCGGGCCGCCGACGCCATCATGGAGGGCAAGCAGGCCATCGTGGACAACTACGCCCGGGAGCTGCGGGAGGCCGAGGCGGTGGTGAACCAGGTGGGCGCCTCCCTCGAGTGCAGCGAGACGAACGCCGAGGCAGCCTTCGCGGCGGCCAAGGAGGCCGAGAGCGAGGCCGCCTCCTTCAAGGCGCTCCTCGACAGCTGGAAGTGCACTGTGACCGACGTGGAGGGGATGCAGGAGCAGGCCAATGTGGACCTCGAGGAGAAGAACCAGATGCTGACGGCGGCGCGGGCCCGGGGGGAGCACCTCACCCAGCAGGTGGCCATCGCCCGGCAGGACTACGAGCAGGTGAAGGAGGCCGCCTACCGCGCCGCCTCGGCTGCGGTGGAGGCCCGCCAGAAGGCCAACATGCCCACCTGTCAGCTGCCGCCGCCGCCGCCCAAACCGTGTGGCGACGATTCCTGGGCCCGGGACCTGCCCGACGAAGCGCCACGAGCCGGCGGCAGTCCTGTCCGGCCCAGGAACGGGGAGAAGACCCCGTCCAGCAGCGGGGAGGGGACACCCACTGCCAGGGCCAGCTGCCAGGCCCTCCTGGAGCTGTACAGGCAGCGCCGCCGGCAGCAGATGCGGCAGCGACGCCAGGAGCTGCGGAAGAAGCAGAAGCGGGCCAGGAGGCTCAAGGGCCGGAAGGGCAGGGAGGACGAAGGGAAGCCCCTGGTCAGCCGGAAGGCTATATACGACTTTGTGGACGGATATTGATCCGAGGGGGTGTTTCTTCTTTGTTCTTGTATATTTTATAGTTTCATTAAAGGGGGGTGTCTATCGGAACTAAGGGGGAAGCTCATCTAATAGTGGTTTTTAATTTTTTTCATTAAAAAAAGAGTGTTATTTTAGTTTATTGGTTTTCTTTTTATGTTTCTGCATGTTTTTTGCTGCTCATTCATGTTTGTTCCTGTTTCCTGATGCTTATTCATGTTTAATCATGTTTGTACAGGTTTCTATATAATTATTCTATGAAAATTATTCTATTTTGATATATTTTTAGTTGTTTTTTAGTTCTCTAATCTTTTTATTTAAAAAAAAGCTAGAATATTTGAGGTTAAGGATGCTACGACATGTTTATTCATGTTTCTGCATGTTCGTACATGTTTCTAAATAGTTTTTTTAATGAAATTCAAGGCATAATCATATGCTTTATAGTTTTTTTTTAATATCTTCAATATTTTATTTAAAAAAAACCTAAATTATTTAAACTAAAGTACGTTTTTCAGGTTCTTACATTTATAGTCATGTCTAGTCAAGTTTCTGCATGTTGGTTCTTGTTTCTAGAGTGTTTCATTATTTATCTTTCAAGTTTATTCATGTTTCTAAATAGTTTATCTATGAAATCTAAAGCTTAACCATTTATTTTTTAGTTTTTTTTTAGGTTTCTACATGTTTCTAATGAGTTCCCTTCTAACAGTCTTTTGAACCATTATTTAGTACTTTAGAACCTTTTCTACCATCCAGTGGACTAAATTCTAGTCCTTACCTAAATTCTAGTCTTTTCGGAACCTTAAAGTTCCGAAAAGATTTCCCCCGACATCCCCCCATCTAGTGGAGAGAATTAATATCCAACTTGTTTATCAACAAAGCCCATTCGCGATTCTTGGGAAATATTTATAAACAAAGAGGCAGAATCGAAGGACATGGGGGAGAAGACATAAACAATGCTGGGAAGAAAACGGGAGCAAGGCCAAGAAGAAATGGGAAACCAAGATCGGATGCAAGCTGGAGACAGGGGACACCGAGAGAGAGAGAGAGTAGCTGGACAAATTTTCCGGCTAAATACAAAAAAAAAAAAAAATAGAAATAACAGCTGCCTATGCGGCACGTCCAGCTGTTTGGGTGCAGAGGGCAGGGGGTGGACGGTGGAAAGGGGGCTGCCAAGGGAGCGGCGACGGGGTGGTGCAACTGGAAGCAGGGTTGCCACCTCTTTGCAGCGAGAGAGAGATTGAAAGAGAGAGCGAGAAAAGGCGCGCGCATTTGCAGACTGCAAACAGAAATAGTGTGAGCGAGAGGGTGCGACTGGGTGGTAGAAAACTGAATTTCTCCATAAAACAAATGAAATTATAATTAAATCATCAGTTAGCACTTTCAGCAGTTAATTAACGAATTTTATTAATAGAGGAAACAGCTCACACGCTTCCAACGTGTGCGCTCCCCCCCATTTCCCCCCCTATTCGCAACAAGGAGAAAGTCAAAAGGGAAATGAAGAAACGACAAAGAAGCCGATATACCAGCAGGGATGGTCAAGAGCGTTGGAAAGAGAGGGAGGAGGTGGCGCATAGCAAGCTGCTAAATATTTTTATAGAATTTCTTTCATTTCTTTTTTTTTTTTTTTTTGGTAAAAACCATCCAAGAATCTCGAGAGCTCTCGAGCCAAAATTCTAATCAGAGAAAAATGCGGAAAGCCAAAATGCCGGCAAGTCCAATTTTTTTAACAGTGCTCTGTTAAAATGTTCTGTTAACAACATTTTTAACAATGTTGACGCTTCCATCTCTCCCGCTACCGCTCTCCCTCTCTCTCTCTCTCTCTCTCCCCACTCTCTGGCTGGCTTTTCAACCTAACCAAACAGAAGCGAAGCTATTGTTTTTTTTTTTTTTTAGAGTTTTTATTTCTCATTTTAGAGGCCACAAATGAATTGTGGTACAAAAACTTGACAAAAATGGTATATGGAATGTGAAAAACTATCCTCTTTTATTTAGATTTCCTAATATCAGGCTTTTCTTCGACAGAATGCCGTACTTTTCTTTTGACTCTGAAACTTACTCTGCTTTGCCGTTGTTTTTCGTTTGCGCTTTTATTTATTCCACTGGAATACTGGAGCCGCCGCCGCTGGACGCTTGTATTGTTAATAATAATAACGTTGTTGATTGCTGCAGCTGCTTGGGCTGGTGGTGTTGTGGCTGCAGGTATTATTATTATTGTTGTTGTTGCCACAGAAAAACATGTTTCACTTTGGGGCAAGAAGAAGAGAGAGAGACGGAGACGTCAATATGACGGTGATGATGACTCCTGCACACTCGTCGCACACACGCACGCACACACAGCCCGGACAGAAGGAGAGAGAGAGTATGAGCAGTGTACAAAAAAAAAAAGGCACACACACACACATACACTCGCGCACGCACACAGACAGCGACCAACGAAATCGGGAATAAAAAATGCTAGGCGTTGCGTTGCGTTGATTTTTCACCGACTCGCACGTTTCACTGGCGGCCTTTATTTTTATTCGATCCAGTATTATTCACTGATGCATTTGCGGGTTTATTTCACCCGGCCGAGAATCGGGAAACACAATAACAAAAAAAGTAAAGCCACACGCGAATTTGTGCCTCTGCTTTTCTGAGACGAATTTTGCCAGGGATGCCGAAAACAAAAATTTTTTTTCGAATCATCGATATTTTTGTCCAGAATGCTGGTTTTCGATGTCTGGCAAGGCCGTCCCGGCGCTGCCAGAAAGAACATCGAAATCCTTATCGAAAAAGGAAGCTCGAAATTTTTTAATTTCAATACAAAATTATGTTAAAAATTTAAAGTAAAAGCTTTTACTGCTTTACATCAAGAAGGAAGAGAAAATATAAATAAAATCAATCCTTTTTTTTAAATCCTATGAACATTGAAATTCTAACAGACACAAAAATTAAATAAAAAATGTTGTATAAATATCATTTATTAATAAAATGATCAATTTCATGGAAATTATAAAATAAAATTACAAATTTATTAAAAAAAAAATAAAATAATAAAGAAAATTTAAATTTAAACGTAGAGGGCGGCCTGGGATGGACAAACATTTGCTTTGTTATCGATAGCTGTTATCGAAAATGTATATTTGCCGCGCCACTGGTGGAACTAATTGGTACTACTCTTAATATAATATTTTTAATATTCTTAGTAATTATATTTTCAGAAACATACAGAAATATAAAAAATTTTTAAATATTTTTTTAAATTTTCTAAACGGGAAAATGTTCACATCTCGGCTAATATTTGGAATATCCTGGAATGGTATACCTTCCCGATCTTGGAACTTCAAGTAGAATCATTCTCCATAAAAACCTGGCAATAAATTTTTTGACCCATTTTTCGTAATTTTTGTAAGGGGTCCCCCTAGGACTCTAGCCAAAAATTGACCAAAATTTTTTTCGGGGGATTTCCCCAAACTTTGGATGCAGAATGAAGGAGATAGGAACCCTGATTCGTAATTGGTATTCCGTTTTGGAATCGGTTTCGAAATAATTAAAATATCACCTAAAGAGTGAATGAAAAATTCAGATTTTGAAAAAATAGAAAAGCACCAAAAACGAATTTCAAAATTTTGGAATTTTCCGGAAGGAAAATGTGGATAGCTCGGCTAATATTTGGAATATCGTGGAATGATATACCTTCCCGATCTTGGAACTTCAAGTAGAATCATTCTCCATCAAAACCTGGCAATAAATTTTTTGACCCATTTTTCGAAATTTTTTCAAGGGTACCCCCAGGATTTTTGGCGAAAATTGACCAAAATTTTTTTCGTGGGATTTTTCATAACTTTGGATACAGAATGAAGGAGATAGGAACCCTGATTCATAATTGGTATTCCGTTTCGGAATCAGTTTCGAAATAATTGAAATATTTACCAAAAACTGCACCAAAAATATCGATTTAAAAAAAAAAAAACTTTAAAAACGCTGTTCCACTTATTTGAATTTTTTAAATAGGAAAATGTGTATAACTTGGCTAATACCTGGCAGATCAATGGATGTTATATATTGCCGATCTCAGAAATCTTAGTAGAATCATTTCCAGTTGAAACCTAAAAACAAAATTTTTAATAAATTTTTCGAAATTTTTTAAGGGGTACCATCATGATTTCGGACAAAAATGGCCGACATTTTTTTTCGCAATTTTCTCACAAATTTTAATGCAAAATAAAGCAGTTAGGAACCCTGATTCATAAATGGTATTTTGTTTAAGAATCTGTTGAAAAATGGTCGAGATATTCTCTAAAAAGGTGAAGGAAATTTTAAAATTTTAGAATAAACGTTTTTTAAAGACTATCGTGAAAAAAATCGAAACTTTTTCCTATGTTTGATGTTCTTATTTTCCGAGAATATTAATCGATAATAATAAAAATATTTTATAAATTAATAAGAATAAAAATATTTAAATTACCATTAAATTACACGAATACCGACGTTTCTATAATTTTGTATTTCAAAATACAACCCTAACCTACAAATTTGAACAAAATGTCATCCGAAAAGGCAATTACATCTAATTTGTAAAATTTTCCAAGTCAATGTTCGAATTTCCAAACATTTCAATCGAGAATTTAGAAGAAAAGACCAAATATTTGGTCAGATTTGAGTCAGATATTTAAAAATAAAAGCCTACAATGGCACAAAAAGCCTAAAACTACACGAAAACATTAACTGGGGCTCTGAGGTATCTATAAGGTCATATATATAAGTCGTGGAGGTATATATCCTGCTAGATGCTATATCATGGTGACGCTGTGGTTGAGCGAGACTTTTCCTTCAGACACACGTTGCTTGAGACGCTGGAAGAGGAATTATTTTTAGTTTCTTCGGAAGGAGAACCTGTTGGAAGAGTCCTACCTTGTTGAAGACCTCACGCATGAGACGGTTGCATCGGCGCTGCCTCTCCTCCTTGGCTCGATTCTTGGCGGCCACTACTTCGGGCAGGTCCCGGCACCGTTTGGAGGTCATGGCCTTCATGTTGCGAGTGGAAAAGACACGCAGTTGACCTACAACGAGATTTTGGAAGTATATACCACTAGGATGGACCATTGGACTTACAAGTGGCTGGTGGAGGCAACTCCATCAGCTTTCTGTCAACTGCTTCCACACTCGTCATGTTGTCGTCCATCAGTAGCTCCTCCATTTCCCGGCGGCGAGTAGCCCGCAGCGCCTGCATCTTGTTCAGTATGGCCTTGCGCTCCTTGGACTTCATGCAGAACTCGGGGCGGGCCAGATGGAGCTGGTCCTGCAGGGATATCGGTGGGCCCATGTCCTCCTCCTTGGCGTTGTCAGTGAACTGGATCATGTACGCCACCCCAGTTGGACGAACTTGCAGCAACTGCCGCCTGATGATCGCGTCGGGATTGTTCTCCTTTTCCGGTTGGCGCTCTGTCCGGCGAATGTGGTGGATTCTGTGGCACGCCACATCATCGTACTGGTGCGTCGTTGTCGTGGTTGTCGTCTCGCACGTGTTCACCATTCCCATGGGCACCGACATGTCCGAACTCATGCACATTACGGACGACGACGAGTTGGTGGTGGTGGTTGTAGTGGTGGTGGTGGTGCTGCTGCCTCCGCCTTTTTCTTCTCGGTGGCCGGTGGCTTCTTCGGTGTTCACCACCTGGTAGTAGACGGCCTCCTCCTTGTCGGCGCAGCAGTAGCCTCTGCTGGAGTGGGTATGGACGTGGGCCTGCGTGTAGTGGTTCATTTCGATGTAGGGACTCTGCTCCTGCCTGGCCGGACGAAGGCTGCGATGGGTCTGCGATTGAAACAGAAAGAGAGGGCATTATTGACCAAGAAAGAGAGGGAAAGAGCAGAGAGTACCTGAGAGCATCGCTGCTGTTGCCTCTCCAGTTCCTTCTGCTGCTGCAGGGCCAGCAACAACTGCTGCTTCTGCAGGGACCGGTAGTGTTCGTTGAACTCCCGGCTTCGCTGCTTGACAAAGGAGCATACGCTCTCGCTGCCGCCGCTGGATGAGCTCCGCAGCACCGGAGTGGCCATCTTTCGTCGCACCTGGTGCGGTGGCACTGGTGGTGGTGGTGCTACAGGCTCCAGAGCTGCCGATGAGGACGAGGATGGTATCCGTGGGAGCTCCTTGGGTGGTCCGCTCAACGAAGCACGTCTCGGCGGCGGAGTGGGAGCTTCAGAGGCTTCATCCGCCAGGCCGGAAGATGGCGGAGCATCGCCGACTTGGAAAACTGGCTCGACCAGCAGGAAAACCTCGTTCCTGGCCGCCGAACTGGGGCTCTGACTCGGAAAACCTTTCAGATATGAGCTGATATCTTCCCTCAACAGCTGCAGGCGTCGTATCTCGTCGTCCACCAGCTTCAGCTTCTCCCTGTGCTCAGCCTGCAGGCCCGTCTTCTGGCGCCCCTCATACTCTATTTCACTCTGGGTCATCGGATGCAGCCAATCCGCCATGACGGCGTCGGCCACATCAGCATCCGTGGAGGCGGCTTCTGCTCGGGGGGGTAGGGAATTCATTTTCTGGGTTATGATATCATGGGAGACGCTGGTCGAAGTGCCGCTGGACATGCTAGTGGCTGCCGGCGGCGGCGGTGGGGTGAGGGCAGTGGTACGTTTGCGAGGAGCCGGCACGGGCAGCGGTGCGGCTGGAGCTCTAACGCTTGAGAGCGAACTGCTGCGTCTGGAGGACCTCTCCGAGGTGTTGGTGGCCATATCTCTGTGCTGTAGAGGCTCTGGATAGAGGGATACAACAAGGATGTGAAATACTCTTTGAAATCCAGGATCTTCTCACCTTTATCGGTCTGCGTTTGGTGGCTTTGCTTGTCAGGTCGGTCTGCTCCAACTTCCAGGTACGCAACGGGTGACTTTCTCAGCGAGAGGGATCCGCTTCGCCTCTTGGCCACATTCTGCTGCTGGAGGGGAGCTGGCGGCACTGAAAGGATAGGAACTATCACTAACTACCTCTATTTGAAATCCCAGAACTCACCATTTTCAGTCTGTGTTTGGTGGTTTCGGTTATCCGGCCGGGATTCAGCCAGTTCCAGGCACGATATCTTCCTGGCGATGTCGCGTATGAGCTTATTCTTCTGCACCTCGCTGAGACTGCGAGAGTTCACCAGCGAACAGAGCAGCTCGATGCCCAAATCCAGGTCGACCTTGCGGCCTCTTCCCGAAGCTGAGCCTGCGACGGAAGAGGACGAGGAGTTACTGACCACTGGCTGACGATTCTCCTTGTTCCGGTTGCGCTTATTGAGGGCCTTCTCCAACTGGGCCGCCGTGTACTCGCGCTCCTTTTCCTTCTCCTTTTCGCGCTGGTCCGCTTTCCGTTTCTCCAGGTTCTGCCGATCGGTCGCGACTGCCACTGGGGGCTGTGCCTTGCTGGGCCACACTTCCTCCGGCATGGGGTGGTTGTTGTAATCGAAGCTGCTGGCCGCCGAACTGCCGTACAAGGATGTGGCCTGCGACTCCCGGCGGGAGCTCAAACGGGAGTCCAATATGCGAGAGCTACGAGAGCTGGGCTGGGACTCCATCAGGGATTCTCGGCGCGAACTGGCGCGGGACTCTGCTGCTGGCATGGGCATATGGCGGGAGCTTGGCTCCTTTCTGGAACTGGAACGCTGGGAGTCCTGCTTGTTGGAGTTCTCTGTTGAATTCTGAAGAGATTTCAAGCTGGACTGGTTACTGACCGGCCCGGGATGGGCGGTGACTGGTCTCTGGCTGCGATTCACAAACGTACTGGAGGCCAGGGGCGGCGTGGGTTTCTCCGGAGCCATGGGCGAAGTACCTCGCTCCCGGGTTAGGTCCGTTTCGGAACAAGGTTGGCGCCAGTTGGAGGACTCCAGGACCGAGCGCTCTAGGGTGCTGATGTTGCTTGTGGAAACAGCTCGTTTGTAGTAGCCCACATCGGCCGAGGGATCCCATTCTAGGCGCTTGTGGGATTTGAGAGCAGACTCCGGGGTCTGGGTCTTCTTGGTGATCTTATCGGGGGAGGTTTTGGTGGGTGTGCGTAGATCCTCGGCGGACGCAGAGTACGTCTGGGTGGCAGCTATTGCCAGGCAGGTCTTCTTCGTTTCCATCTCGATGGGAATGACTGTGATCACCTCCTCCTCGGATGATTTCCTTTTCTCCTTGAGCCTGGGCCTGATCTTGATTCGCTTGGGTGCTCCGTGAGCCGGAGGCGGTGGTGGAGGTGGTGGTGGTGCCAGAGGAACTCCCTTCTCCTTACTCCTGCGCTTAGTGGAGGATTCTGAACAAGTTCCACTGCTGTTGTGGGCCATGGCTCCTGGGGCTGGAACCTGGTGTAGGAGGCAACTGTTTGTGCTACCACTGCTTGCGGTCGACGACAAGATCATGTAGCGCTCCAGCTCCCGATCCCCAGCCACTTCGTCTATATATTCCCGGGCCTGCGAAGGGATGCGCGAGGATTGCGCCACTTTCCGGCTGTGCTTGTGGCCTGGCATTTGGTCAGAGTTGATGTGCCACCTTCTGGCAAGGATCGCACCACTAAAACGAGGAATTTCCTCAAAGATATCCTGAAGGTTTTCAAATCCTACGGCTTTTGTGCATTCCACCACTCTGGCAGTGTTGTATAACGATACTTTACCTACCTAGTGTTGCCCAGGACACGCTTGGCTTTGCGATAGGAATTCAATAAGTGGCGGGTAAACCAAATTTTTCAATTGGAATATTTTGTTTGTGAAAAATTTAATAAAATCCAAGAAATGTAATTAAAAAATCCTTAGAGTCAGAAGGGCAGAAAGTAAAACAGGGCTAGACAAAGGCAAAGCACTCTTGTTTGGGATTCGTGTTTATCGACTATCGAGTTTTCAAAATTTTGACCGTTACATCGATACTTATCGATTTCACTTAACCGGTTCGTAACGATAGTGTTGCATAACGGCCAAACTACCCTGTGGGAATTTCAAAAGACGCATCGCGTCCTTTTTCGTTGTTTATAATTGATCCTGCCTGTTTGTTGTTATCGCACTGAATTAAACCAAGTTTTAAACAGAATAAATTAAAAAAATAAAAGGATTAAGATATGCTGGAAACCAAGAGCATAGCTGCTTTGGCATTTACGGAAACGCCGCGCAAGCGCAAACGGGAAACGGGCCATCATCACACAGCTCCCCCACCACTTGCCCCGCCCCCGCTGACGGCGCAGCTGCAGGACCAACCCCCGGAACGACAGGATGCAGCTGTCGCTGCCACGGAGTCCTGCTTCACCAATGCCGCCTTCAGTTCGACGCCGAAAAAGTTGATTGGACGCCGCCGCCTCGCCAAGGAGAATGCCCAACCGAATCCCTTTCCCGGTCTGGAGGTTAAGTCCATCGCCGCTCTGGCAGAGAGGCAGCAACAGCAGCAGTTGCCCACGAACCCTTTCGAGGTACTGCGTCAGCCCTCCAAGAAGAAGAAGCGGGAACATGCCTGTTTTGAGAATCCTGGCCTGAATTTGGAACTCCCGGAAAAGCAATTTAATCCCTATGAGGTAGTTGGATAAGCATAGCTTATAAAGGACTCCCTAATCCTATTACTAATCTCTACTCCAATTCAGGTCATCCGTTCGACGGCCACGCCTTCGAAGGGCTTTGTGAATCCTGGCCTGAATCTGCGTGGCAGTGATGTCCCTGCCTCGCTCAATCCCTTCGAGATTCATCGACCCAGTGAGGCTTCGACGGCAGCCTGCAATCCCACAGGAGTGGCGAATCCCGCCCTGACCGAAGCTGAGACCGAGGAGCACCAGCTGCCCACCAGCTTGAAGATTGGGCTACCCTTTACCCCCACCCTGGGCTGTCGCATCGATTTCCATGGCATGTCCCTCTCCCAGCTGACTCCCAGCAAGCTGCTGGCCGAGAAGTTGGTCTTCTCGCCGGTTCCGGCTCCCAAGAGGTCGCTGGGCGCCATCAGCGAGGAGTCCACAATGGATATAGGCAAGGAACTGGATCGCTATCAGCTGGAGTTGGAGAACAGCATCAATGAGGCGAAGCTGCGCAAGAACGGCATCCTCACGGACGTGCAGGACAAGCCCAGGATCAGTTTGGAGGTGGAGCTGCCAAAGGACACGCAGTCCCAAGTGGTGGGAGCTGCTCCCAAAGTTTCGTTGGTGGTGGAGACCGATTCGCAGGAGGTGGTCATGCAGGAGGTGAGAAAGGGCGATGCTCCGGTGGAGCGACGCTTGATCTGCACCAGGAGGCGTACCCTGACGGAGATTAGCGAAGAGCAGCAGGCGGAGGAGATGGAAGAGAAGGAGCCGGAGCAAGAGGAGCCCAGTCAAGAGGAGTTGAAAAAGCAGGAAAGGGAAAAGCAGAAGCAGCAGGAACAGGAGGACCTGGAGAAGCAGAAACGTTTGCAGGAGCAGCTGAAGGAGAAGCTGAAGGAACGAGAAAGGGAAAAGGAGCTGCAGGCCAAGGAAAAGGAGGACGTGGTCTATGCCTCCGATGAGTCCGAGGAGGAGGATCTGGACGATCTGGATTTCAAGGCACCGGCACGCTTCGTGCGCGCCTATCGTCCCGCTGCCCAGCCCACCAAGGTGCCCAGCAAGGAGTCCCTCCAGTCGATCGGCTCCTCCAAGTCCACCAAATCCGCTGAGACCAAAGCCCATGGCGGTGGGGGCGTGAAGAACATGATCCGAAAGTCCATACGCCGCCTCATGCATCCCACACAGCATACGCAGTCATCGCCAGAGAAGGCACCATCTGAGGAGCAACCCAATCATGGACACCATCACAATATAATCAATACCATACGGCACAGCTTGCGCCGCAGGCCCCAGAAGATGACTCCCCTGGAGGACGAGGAGGAGGAGGAGGAGAAGCAGACCCCGGCTCTGCCGGACATCTCCATCATAGACACCAGTGAGCGGACCATGAAGCTGCGCTCCAGTGTGGCCCAGACCGAGTACATGACCATCGAGCAGCTGACCAACGAGAAGAAGCACACGCTCAGGAACAGCATTCGGCGCTCCACGCGGGACGTACTGCGTCACGTCCTGTTCCACAAGAGTCACGATGCCTATGCCACGGCCAAGTGAAGCGAATCCTTGAATCCTTTTTCATTCAAACATCCTTGAAGCACCCTTAGTTAAGTTTACAAAAAAGCACCCAAAGATTGTCTCACAAAAACAACAAAAATCAGCACAAAACCCGAAAGGACCTTTTACACTTTCAAGGGATATTTTTAGGACTTCATCTTTTAATCTTTATTCTTTTTTAAGGATGGAGTTCTGTTCCCTTAATATATTTTTAGGCATAATCTATTTTTTTTTCAGGCAAGGATAGATCCTCGCCAGCCACCAGACTTCCGGTTTATTTTCCGGATATGGTCTTGATGTTTGCACGTTTTTTAATATTTATTTTTAATGTTTTGTCAATGTCTTGATATATATGCTTTTTTTGAAATATATTCAACATTTGTTTCTTAAATATGGAAAAGTGCTTTTCTACTTAAAAAAACAGGAATATTTAATCATGTTTGGACATGTTTAACCAGTAAACACAATCATGTTTAAACAGGTTTGGTTTCTTAGGGAAATCCTTGCAGGAAATGCGATTCTACGATTATTTTTATTATAATTTTTAAACTATTGGAACTTGGTCTGTTTTTATTCATTTTTTTCTTAAAAATTTCTAGCTTATTTTTAAAAAAAATTATGTTGCTAGATTAGTATTGGTTGTTTCTAATTTTTGATCTTAAATTCCATAAAGTTTTTACAAAGGAAGTCACATAGAGTGGTTTTACATTTCTTTTCTATTTAAAGATTTAAATATTATTATTATATTTTTGATGATTAACACTTTAATGTGTTAATTTATTTTCTAGATACAATTTTTAATTTTAAAACAAGAAGAACTTAATTTCCTACATTTTTTTGGGACTCTTTTCACAACAGCTTGTCCTGAAAATCTTACATCTCTTCTAACCTTTGACCTTAAACCTTTAATCTAACATAATTTGAGTATTTTTTATTTTTGGTTTTAAAACAACAAACTAACTGTTTTTTCTTAATTTTAATATCTTTATATTAATCTTTATGATATCTTTATTTAATGAGAATTGAGGAAGATATAGCCATCGCCGTGGGCCCTATAGGGGAAAACCCCATTTTCAGGGCATCCATCAGGAAAAATGGACAAAAAATCGTAAAAATATTTTGTCTCAGGATTTTGATGCAGAATGGTGCAGAATCGATAAAGAAATCGTTTAAGGTACTCCGCTTGAGAATCGAATGAGAATTGAGGAAGATATAGCCATCGCCGTGGGCCCTATAGGGGAAAACCCCATTTTCAGGGCATCCATCAGGAAAAATGGACAAAAAATTTAAAAAATATTTTGTCTCAGGATTTTGATGCAGAATGGTGGAGAATCGATATAGAAATCGTTTAAAACACTCCGCTTGAGAATCGGATGAGAATTGAGGAAGATATAGCCATCGCCGTGGGCCCTATAGGGGAAAACCCCATTTTCAGGGCATCCATCAGGAAGAATGGACAAAAAATCTAAAAAATATTTTGTCTCAGGATTTTGATGCAGAATGGTGCAGAATCGATATAGAAATCGTTTAAGATACTCCGCTTGAGAATCGGATGAGAATTAAGGAAGATATAGCCATCGCCGTGGGCCCTATAGGGGAAAACCCCATTTTCAGGGCATCCATCAGGAAAAATGGACAAAAAATCTAAAAAATATTTTGTCTCAGGATTTTGATGCAGAATGGGGCAGAATCGATATAGAAATCGTTTAAGATACTCCGCTTGAGAATCGTATGAGAATTGAGGAAGATATAGCCATCGCCGTGGGCCCTATAGGGGAAAACCCCATTTTCAGGGCATCCATCAGGAAAAATGGACAAAAAGTCGAAAAAATATTTTGTCTCAGGATTTTGATGCAGAATGGTGCAGAATCGATATAGAAATCGTTTAAGATACTCAGCTTGAGAATCGTATGAGAATTGAGGAAGATATAGCCATCGCCGTGGGCCCTATAGGGGAAAACGCCATTTTCAGGGCATCCATCAGGAAAAATGGACAAAAAATCGAAAAAATATTTTGTCTCAGGATTTTGATGCAGAATGGTGGAGAATCGATCCAGAAATCGTTTAAGATACTCCGCTTGAGAATCGGATGAGAATTGAGGAAGATATAGCCATCGCCGTGGGCCCTATAGGGAAAACCCCATTTTCAGGGCATCCATCAGGAAAAATGGACAAAAAATCGAAAAAATATTTTGTCTCAGGATTTTGATGCAGAATGGTGCAGAATCGATATAGAAATCGTTTAAGATACTCCGCTTGAGAATCGGATGAGAATTGAGGAAGATATAGCCATCGCCGTGGGCCCTATAGGGGAAAACCCCATTTTCAGGGCATCCATCAGGAAAAATGGACAAAAAATCGAAAAAATATTTTGTCTCAGGATTTTGATGCAGAATGGTGCAGAATCGATATAGAAATCGTTTAAGATACTCCGCTTGAGAATCGGATGAGAATTAAGGAAGATATAGCCATCGCCGTGGGCCCTATAGGGGAAAACCCCATTTTCAGGGCATCCATCAGGAAAAATGGACAAAAAATCGAAAAAATATTTTGTCTCAGGATTTTGATGCAGAATGGTGCAGAATCGATATAGAAATCGTTTAAGATACTCCGCTTGAGAATCGGATGAGAATTGAGGAAGATATAGCCATCGCCGTGGGCCCTATAGGGGAAAACCCCATTTTCAGGGCATCCATCAGGAAAAATGGACAAAAAATCGAAAAAATATTTTGTCTCAGGATTTTGATGCAGAATGGTGCAGAATCGATCCAGAAATCGTTTAAGATACTCCGCTTGAGAATCGGATGAGAATTGAGGAAGATATAGCCATCGCCGTGGGCCCTATAGGGGAAAACCCCATTTTCAGGGCATCCATCAGGAAAAATGGACAAAAAATCGAAAAAATATTTTGTCTCAGGATTTTGATGCAGAATGGTGCAGAATCGATATAGAAATCGTTTAAGATACTCCGCTTGAGAATCGGATGAGAATTGAGGAAGATATAGCCATCGCCGTGGGCCCTATAGGGGAAAACCCCATTTTCAGGGCATCCATCAGGAAAAATGGACAAAAAATCGAAAAAAATATTTTGTCTCAGGATTTTGATGCAGAATGGTGGAGAATCGATCCAGAAATCGTTTAAGATACTCCGCTTGAGAATCGGATGAGAATTGAGGAAGATATAGCCATCGCCGTGGGCCCTATAGGGGAAAACCCCATTTTCAGGGCATCCATCAGGAAAAATGGACAAAAAATCGAAAAAATATTTTGTCTCAGGATTTTGATGCAGAATGGTGCAGAATCGATCCAGAAATCGTTTAAGATACTCCGCTTGAGAATCGGATGAGAATTAAGGAAGATATAGCCATCGCCGTGGGCCCTATAGGGGAAAACCCCATTTTCAGGGCATCCATCAGGAAAAATGGACAAAAAATCGAAAAAATATTTTGTCTCAGGATTTTGATGCAGAATGGTGCAGAATCGATATAGAAATCGTTTAAGATACTCCGCTTGAGAATCGGATGAGAATTAAGGAAGATATAGCCATCGCCGTGGGCCGTATAGGGGAAAACCCCATTTTCAGGGCATCCATCAGGAAAAATGGACAAAAAATCGAAAAAATATTTTGTCTCAGGATTTTGATGCAGAATGTTGGAGAATCGATCCAGAAATCGTTTAAGATACTCCGCTTGAGAATCGGATGAGAATTGAGGAAGATATAGCCATCGCCGTGGGCCCTATAGGGGAAAACCCCATTTTCAGGGCATCCATCAGGAAAAATGGACAAAAAATCTAAAAAATATTTTATCTCAGGATTTTGATGCAGAATGGTGCAGAATCGATATAGAAATCGTTTAAAACACTCCGCTTGAGAATCGGATGAGAATTGAGGAAGATATAGCCATCGCCGTGGGCCCTATAGGGGAAAACCCCATTTTCAGGGCATCCATCAGGAAAAATGGACAAAAAATCGAAAAAATATTTTGTCTCAGGATTTTGATGCAGAATGTTGGAGAATCGATCCAGAAATCGTTTAAGATACTCCGCTTGAGAATCGGATGAGAATTGAGGAAGATATAGCCATCGCCGTGGGCCCTATAGGGGAAAACCCCATTTTCAGGGCATCCATCAGGAAAAATGGACAAAAAATCTAAAAAATATTTTGTCTCAGGATTTTGATGCAGAATGGTGCAGAATCGATATAGAAATCGTTTAAGATACTCCGCTTGAGAATCGGATGAGAATTGAGGAAGATATAGCCATCGCAGTGGCCCCTATAGGGGAAAACCCCATTTTCAGGGCATCCATCAGGAAAAATGGACAAAAAATCGAAAAAATATTTTGTCTCAGGATTTTGATGCAGAATGGTGGAGAATCGATCCAGAAATCGTTTAAAACACTCCGCTTAAGAATCGGATGAGAATTGAGGAAGATATAGCCATCGCCGTGGGTCCTATAGGGGAAAACCCCATTTTCAGGGCATCCATCAGGAAAAATGGACAAAAAATCTAAAAAATATTTTGTCTCAGGATTTTGATGCAGAATGGTGCAGAATCGATATAGAAATCGTTTAAGGTACTCCGCTTGAGAATCGGATGAGAATTGAGGAAGATATAGCCATCGCCGTGGGCCCTAAAGGGGAAAACCCCATTTTCAGGGCATCCATCAGGAAAAATGGACAAAAAATCGAAAAAATATTTTGTCTCAGGATTTTGATGCAGAATGGTGGAGAATCGATATAGAAATCGTTTAAGGTACTCCGCTTGAGAATCGGATGAGAATTGAAGAAGATATAGCCATCGCCATGGGCCCTATAGGGAAAAACCCCATTTTCAGGGCATCCATCAGGAAAAATGGACAAAAAATCGAAAAAATATTTTGTCTCAGGATTTTGATGCAGAATGGTGGAGAATCGATATAGAAATCGTTTTAGGTACTCCGCTTGAGAATCGGATGAGAATTGAGGAAGATATAGCCATCGCCGTGGGCCCTATAGGGGAAAACCCCATTTTCAGGGGAAAATAAGAAATTGGATGTTCCTATTTTGGACTCCGACCTACCAAATTGCATAAGGATCGGTCGACTATATCCTATATATACTTTTATAATGAAATTCTATCGGATCGGGGTACTATATGCGACATTTGCGATAAGAATCCAATCTCAACCGCAAGGGTATATCTCTTCGGCTCCGCCCGAAGTTAGCTTTCCTTTCTTGTTTAAATTAAATATCTTAATTTAAAAAAAGTAATTTTTTATTTTTACGATTTTTTTTAGTCCTTAAACCATGTCCTTAAGATTCCTGCAAGGATTTCCTTCAGGGAGAAACATACCTCTACTTATAGACCGTTTGGAGGAGCGGTCTCCGGCGCTGGTCGAGCGGCTTGTAGGCGTGCTGGTAGACGCTCGCCAGTCGCCAGTGCTCCGGATAGCCGCCCTGGCCGGCTCCGCCCGCCTGGCTACGGAATGGCGGCACCAGGGTGTCGATGTCGTAGTTCTTCTTGGAGTACGGCTGGCGGGGGCGGGGCACTACCAGCACCCGGGAGCCGCCGATGCCGCCGCCGCAGTCGGCATCCACGCCCACAAAGTCCCCGCTGGCATTGTGCTTGGGCACTCCGGCCCGGAAGGCTGCCTTGCTGGTTAGACAATGACCGTGTCCGTGCCCGTGGCCGTGTCCATGGCCGGGAAACGTCGGTCCTGGACAGCAACGTGACGGAGCCGGCGCCACCTTGTGGCAGAGACGACGTGCCGGTCGCCGGAGTAGGGTGTCCCTCTTGCAAGGAGGTCCTCCCGAGTTGCGGCAGTCCATGGCCGGACAATCCTGTCCAGATTCCGGTCCCAGGTATTTCTCCCGCAGTGCCTGGTAGGCTTTGTCGCCCAGCAGGGGCGAGGATTGGTATTGCTTGGCCAGTCTATCAGGCATCCCCCGCCCGGGGAGCTCCGTGAGATTCCCAAAGCTGACCCCGCCAGCCGCCCCGCCTGCTCCGGAACCCAGGCCTCCGGGTCGACGGCAGTGGGAGGCACTGGAGTCCCGGGAGACGCTGCGAGCTCGTTGCCTGGCCGGCGGGGAGTAGTCGCAGGCACAGGGATCCTCCCGGTCCAGACGAGCTCCCCCGAAGTCCGTTCGCTTCCGGAGTATGTCCTTGTCGAAGAAGTCCGCCTCGCCCAGGGTGCTGGTGAAGACGCCCGCCGAGCGGCCCAAGTCCATGGCGCCCTGATCCTCTCGAGGCGTTTTCACGCACGTGAAGACCGCCGGTCCGGCGGAGTCGTTGGAGCCGTCGATGTGCCGGGCCAGACGCGGCTCGTCGGCGGGATTGGCGGGCTTGAAGTCCCAGCAGATGGCCAGATCCATGGGACCCATTTTCTTGGCCGGCGCCGAGCCCACGCCCCGGAAGGGATCCCCCCCACCGATCGCCTTGGGCACAATGCCGCCGCCCGTCTTGGGCCGGAACACCTTCATCTTGGTGCAGTGCGTCGGGCCGGCGTTGTGGGTCTTCACGCCAACGCCGGTGGCGATCGGATCGATTTCCAGCGAGAGGCCGGCATGTCCGCCGGAGATCTGGGCCCGCCGGAAGGCCAGATCGGCCACACAGTCCGGCAGCGGCTGGTGGTCCAGGTTGTCCTGGTGCATCCTCTTGGCCAGCTCGAAGTTGGCGTAGGCCGGCACCACCGGCGACGGACACCGCTCGTTCGGCTTCTCGGTGATCGAGTGCAGCGGCATCTTCCTGATCAGGTCCGGATCCGAGTTCCCCGCGTCGTACTTCTCGAACTTGACGGTCGGCAGGGAGATGAGGTCCTTGCCGGGATCGAAGCTGACCACACTGCTGCGCTCCAAATGATCCGTGTATCGGTTCTGGGCCTCTGCCAGGGCCGGAAACTGTCGTCCGGCCGCAGATCCCAGCGGCTCCCGGTACTTGATCGGCTGCGTGTCCCGATGGTCCAAGGTGAGGCGACTCAGGGGCAGGCTGTCCGCCGGATCCGAGTGCTTCTGGTCGAGGAGGAGCTGGTGCGAGGGCAGACGGTACTGGGGCTCGATCAGGTCGCCGGGGGTGTAGCTCAGATCCGCAACTCCTGCTTGAGACATGGTTGGGTTTGGGTTTCCCTTTCGATTACGGGTTCACTTGTTACATGGATGGAGATGGAGATGGAAATGATGATGAAGATGAGATGGGATGTGGTTTAAATCGTTCTCGAGTGGATGAAGGACCTACTCCCTCTCTTAAGCGGACAGGCAAGCGGACAGAACAAGGATGGAGATGAAAATGAAGGTGCATAGGCCTAGGTGGTTATAGCTGGAAGGATCTTTGCATAGGAACCTCCTATAGGGGGCCTATAAGGGGCTAAAGTACCTCCTCCCTCTCTTAAGCGGACATAGGACCTCTCTTAAGCGGACAAGTGCCAAATATTTTTATTAAAATAATGTATTTGTTGTTCAGGTGTGCCGTGTTTTGGAGGATTTCTTGGTGGTCTTGGTCTTATCCTTGTCGCTTCTGGTGGATGACTTGGAGTCCTTGGACCTGCCCTTCTCCTTCTCTTTGGACTTGCCCGAGGCCGGAGCAACTACGGCGGGGATCTTGTCCTTGTCGGACTTGTGGGTGCGCTGGTCATAGGAGGCGACCGACTCATTGGCGTACAGGGTGGCCCGGGGCTTGGGGAAGGCGGTGATGGTCCGCTTCCGGCGGCGTCTCTGGTCGGTCGATACTTGGGCCACCTTGGCCTTGAGCGGCACGGGGACAGTGCGTTCGATCTACAGTGCAGGATGGAGAGATGGAGGATGTGCAGGATGTGCTGAGGAGAAGGGATATGCCAGGGAGGAGCTGATACTCACCTCGTCTTTGCACCTGGCCCGTTTACAGCGCTGACTCCGGTTGTAGAGCTGCGTCAGCTGGTGGAGGCCCTCGCACTTGGTCTGGCACTGCTGGCGCTCCCAGCGCGGGTCGCCCTTCTCGCCGAGCGTCCGGCGCTTGTCGCAGGCCAGTGCCCGCTGGTTCTCCCACTGGCAGCTGCACAGATCCCGCGGATAGTCCCGGAACTTGTACCGTCCGCTCAGGCAGGCATCGTAGTGCTCGCAGAACTTCCGGGTTATCTTCAGTGGCAGCTCGTACGTGCCCCGATAATGCCCAAAGGAGTTGCCCTCCCTGGAACAGGACACTGCCATTAAAAACTATATATAATTAAGGATGCGGTAGTTACCTCCTAACGCCGGGCAGTAGGTGGCCGTCCTGGCCGGCTAGGATCTTGACCTTGGCCCGTATAGTGCGGGGACGCGGTGGGGCGAAGCGCGGGTACTCCCAGTTGCTGAGGCGCCGACCCCGGAAACGGTCCTCGAACTGCAAGTAGACAGAAGGCCAGGAATCAAGCGGGAAGTGGAGACGGCAGTGGAGGACTTAAGCCCGGACTCGATAGACACCTGTTAGGAAAAAGTGCGCCTTCGGTCCTCGTTCCGGTTAATACCCTTATTTATGGTCCCCGGACAAACAACAATCCAATTGATAAAAAAAAGGACACCCTCTTGGAAGTGGAATCCGGAATCCACCCCGGAAACAGGGTGGCAGAGAGGGTGGCGGGGCAGCGGGGCAGGGCCAATTACACGGCGTAATCTCTGCGCCGGAACATGTGTAGAAAGGCATTTATCTAATGCCACTTAATTCCTTGTTTGTGTTGTTTGCCTTTCGAAAGTTAAAAAATAGCAGAAAGGACTCGGCACCGCCCCTGAGTCCTGGCCTCATTTATCAGAGGGATTTGGCCAGCAGGAAAAACAGGTACCTCCACCAGGCCACCGGCATGGAATCATCAGATCCCGGGGCTTATAAAAATCATTTTTCAAAACATTTAAATCGAATTATGATATTATACTGGGGACTAGGACTAGGAGGGATTAGGACTCTTCGACTTCCACTGGAGTGGATTGGAGTTTCAAAAACCAGAGTTCTCTGAAGAAAGTTTTGAAAAACTAGACTAGGGTTCGTTTTGGAAGGATTATATAGAAGGTTTTCCATAAAACTACTATTTTTAATAAGTAGTTCCCCTGGTTCTCTATTGATTTATTGTAAAATATATATCTTAAATCCAAGATCCTTAGTCCCAACATATAGTACCATCTTAAGAACCCACAACATTCCAGATAGAAGTAATCTTCCCACGATTTTCCACTTTCCCGGTTTTCAATTAGGAAATGCAAATGGGGAAATGGGAAAATGAACAGGACAGGACTCGGTGGTAACTCGATATCCTGGCTGCGAGTTGTCAACACTTGATTGAGGTCCTTGATCGATGGCTGGGCTAGGGGTGGGGGGTGGCCAGGCTGCAGTGGGTGGTACTGCGGATGGGAGGCGGGGTTGGGGGTTGTGGGCTGGGCTGGCACACGTTCACACCACGCGTGTCCTTGCCACAATGCCGCAATGGCTGCTGGGTCTGGGTTGCCACTGTAATTAAATTTACACGGCAATTACACAACAATCCTGTAGTGCGATGAGATAGAAATCCCTTCCCCCCCGCCTGACAGGACACAAGCTTTGTGCTAAAATACAAATTGATTTTAAACTCAATTAGCAACAAAAGTGCAAGCCGTTTAACAATTGCCGATTACAACACTTGGTCCATCTGGACTCGATTCGAGATGCTCCTTAACAAGGATTCCATGGATATCCAACTAGAATGGAATACAATGGCATATAGATACTCTCACCCGCTCGCTGCCTCCCCCTCTTGAGGACGGGTCACCCCTCCGGGGAAGCGATGATTTTTATGGCAACCCTCTGGGGTGCAATTTATCACATGGTGCCCTCACATCCGCACTGCCATCCGCACTAGCCACCGTATCCGTATCCACATCCACATCCGCATCCGCAGGATTAGATAGTCAAAAAGCTAGACCAGGACACGTGCAAGAGTAGGTAGTGCACCTAACAAAATATTTCTTCTTTTCTTAAGGTTTTTATTTTAAACTAAAAAAATATTTAATATTTTACGATATTTTGAAATATTAAAGACACATCTCTAGTCTTCATAACCTCTAATATTCCTATATTTTAGGGTTATTTTTCAAAAAGTAACACTCTTGATTTCACTTAAACTAAAAAAAAAAACTCTTGTTTTACCTAAACTTTGGACTACAAAAATAATTAATTTTTTACGATATTTTGAAACGTTAAAAACACATCTCTATTCTTCATAACCTCTAATATCCCTTTATTTTAGGGTTATTTTTTAAAGATTAACACTCTTGTTTTCACTTCAAAAAAATATTAATAGGTACTACTCACTATTTTAAACTTGTATAGTTAATTTTTAATTTAAATAAATGATTTTTAAGCACTAAAAAAATATTTAAACTTCTTAGATTACTTTACTTTGGATTATTTTTTAAAAAATTGTCCAAAACTATTACTTTTTTTTCACAGTGTATCAGAAATTAGATTGCTTTGAGGATGGCAGGGGTAGGGTATTTATGAAACAATGTAGCATCTCCTGCTGCACTTGTAGCCCAAGGACTTACTGATGCTCCTCGTCCTTTCCAGGTTTTTTTTCCTCCTGCCTTTTTTTTTTGGTGTCCTGGTAGTGTCTTGGATGTCCTGGTCGAGGCGACAACCACTTAAGCTAATTTCACGCTCTGTCGCCGAACTCTGTCCCTTGACCAGATATCCTTGTCCAGCGAATGCATTTCCAGTTCGATTTACCGTTATGTGATAATCAATTTTCTATCCCACCAGCTGTCCTGTCGTTGTCCTGGCCAATTGGACAATTGAAAAGGCATTCAGGATATTTTTTTTGATCCGAAAATCCTTTTCCCGCACCGTTTATGTTTCCGATTCCGATACTATTGGGTGTGTAACCATATAGATGGTATGGAGAAATAACTCCAAACTGGCGGAAATGGCTCCAAGCAGGGCGAGTTGCGTGGCAATCAAAGGGGGCCACTGGGGGCCTGGTCCAAAGTAACCGTTACCAAGTAAATAAACTTAACTGTCGCTATTTGCAAATGTGCAAGAAGAAAAACGGGGGCGGAGGTGGAGGTGGAGGCGGAGGAGCGGCCCTAGGATACGGTAACGGGATGCGTACATCACTGACAAAACAAAAAGCCCCACCAATAGCAAGGTCACCAAAAGTGTCACTAACGAATCTAAAATATGTATATTAATGTTTTAAAAACTAAGCTTAAATTTAAATATTTTTTAAAATTATTAAACTATTTAAATGTAAATTATTATTTTAATTACAAGCTCCACTTCGTTATTGAAACTTTAGTCGCCTGTCGGTGTTTTTGTTTTTGTTTTTGTTTTTCTGTTTATTCCCAGACTAACGGAATGCAAGTTGCTCCAACACTCTCCCACCCCATCCCAAGCGCCTGAGAGAAAAAGAGAACAAGGTAGTGTGGGTGGGTGGGTGCCAAGCGAGAGAGGGACAAACTGCGATTTGGTTGCCATTGCCACGTTGTTGTTATTATTGTTATTACGGCCAAGCTGGAAATCCTTCCTTTCCTTTAAATATATATAGGATATGTATATATATTCCGTGTGTTATCCGTACCAACGCGGGTTGCCACGCCCCCTGCTCCTACCGAAAATTAGGCCGTGGCTTTTGAATGTTTTTTTTTTTTTTTATAAATAGAAAAGGAAAGAAATAGGTCTGAGAAACAGCCTCCAAAAAGGGGGTGTCCTTAAAACACTCACCTGCTGGGCACTAAAATGCAAGGACATAGTTTCAGATATATTTTTTAATTTCGAATTTTGATTATTGAGGCCTTTGAATAATTTTAAATATTAAAAAAAGAGAAACTGACAGGACAGAGCAGGTCACCCTGTTCGTTTGTGGGGAGCATCCTGGCAAGAGGCGTGGTTTAGCATTCGAGGGGGAGGGCGGTTAGCATCTGGTTTTTCCGAGAAAAGCTTTCGGACAAATGGAAAAGTCTGCACCAGCAGCTGAGCCCTGCCAACAGGAGAAAAGGACTCAGGATTCAGGAGTATGTATTATGTATATTTATTATTGGACTGGCTTACACACACACACACACACATACGAGGACACTCACACACATTCACACATACAGAGTACAGTTAGAGTATAAACAAATATCACGTCTTAGTGGCTACAAAAAAAATTGTTATTTTAAATACTAATTTTGTAAGTTTTCTTAATTATTTGTTTGGTTAATATTAGTTGAAAATACTTGTTGAAATATTCTGTAATGCTTTTCTAATTATTTTCATCTGTTTTCTTGATAGTTTTCTGTTTTTTTTTAGCTTCTTTCGAAAAACAATGATATTTTTACATAATATGTTGCCTACTTTTTCGGGCGTTTGGTTTTCTTTTTAATCTTTTTACTGTTTTTACAAAAATAAATAAATAAAATTATTCAAAAATGACTAGACTTTTAAATTAAAAGATATAGAATTTTTTGGTATTAAAAATAAAGGAAAAATATATCTTCTAGCTTGCATTTTTTAAGCAGTTTTCTAAGAAAACCTTGAAAAATATTTTTTAAAAATGTTTAATACTAAATATACTGATAGAAAAGTTAAATAAATACATACAAAAATATTAAATTATTAAAATAAACATTTTAAAAAATTATACAAAACAGTCTAACCATTAAAACTAGTCCTCTTGAAGTTTTCTTGGAAAACCCTTTTCAAAAAATGTTTTTTAAAAACACATAAATCTTAATTTAAAAAAAAAAATAGAATAAAATAATATATGCTGTGGCCCTGTCCACCCTATGGCGGAGCAAAGAAGTTGGCCTCGTTAAAGATGCAGCTGGTGGCGAAACCGGATCCGGTGGAGATGGAACTGGACATGGAGCTGGATCCGCCGGCGTTGTCTCAGGGTGTCTCCAGCACATGATTCAAATAGGCAATATAGCAGATGGCCAGCTTGAGGATCTCGATCTTGGACAGCTTCTTGTCCGGCGGCAAAGTGGGCAGCAGTTTCCTCAACTCCGCAAAGGAGACATTGAAGGCCTCCACCCGGATCCGCTCCCGCGTGGCATGGGCCGTTCTATACTTCAGTGTGGCTCGTCGTCGGCGACGCCGTTCCTCCCGCGACAACCCGACCAGCTCCGAGGGATCCAGATGGGCGATAGGCGTGGTCCGGCGTCGGGGAGCAGGTGTGGGCGGTGGCGGCGGAGCCGGTTGGGCGGCCGTTTCGCAGGCCATTCGAGCCTGGAACCTCTTATCGATGTCGAGGGTCGTGCTGGCGGCATAGTCCTCGCTCATCAGGTGGGGATTATTGGCGCCCACCACCATTTCGTCCTCCTCGGCCAGGTAGTAGCGGCTCAGGGAGATGCTTTGGGGCGGACCCGCCGCCATGTGGGTCATATCGTAGACCATTTTTCGACTGATTGCCTGGTTCCTGTAAAAATTATACAAAAATTGTAAATCAGAATCATTTCTTTAAGTATTTTATTCTAAAAAATCGTTGTTTTAATCTCATCCTGTTATAAAACTTAACAAACAAACCCTTAAAAGGGGTAACAAATTAAAACCCCAGAGACTAAGGATATGTGACTTTTCAAAAATACCAAAAATAAGAAAAGCAAAACCCATTAAATAAATATATAATAAAAATCAAATATTAACCGCAGCCTCCAGCCGAAACAGAAGGGTTCGTTAAGGGGTTTTTGCTGCAAAATGGTATGGGGGCGGGGGTCAAAGGTCCCGGAGGCAAAGAAACGTGACGATTGTTTGCCAGCTATTTGTGTAGGTGTGAAAATATGTTGCGAACAAACAATAAACAATAAACACACTAAGCACAATGGGTAGCAACAATAAAAATAAATGAAAATAATAGGAAAGGCAAACATAGCGATGGCCCGCCAAAGGGGTGTCCTGGATGTCCTTGTTGTGCGGCACACACACAGACTCTGCCACACCCCTTGCCACACAAATGAACCATTAATAATGCGAGTGGCAGCCTCTTAAGGTTTTAGGGGTTTATGTAGTTCGATGGGGAACTCTATTTGGGGGAAAAACTCAAAAGATCTCAAGACTTTCAGTAATAAGTATTATTTTTGAAAAATATCGGGTTTTAAATATTTTTTCTTATTGAGTTATTAAATGATCGTCTCTAAATCCTGAAGGAGGATTATATAAAAATTAAAGGTATAATACAATTAATAGTATTATATTTTAATAAACAACTTTTACAAATTTTGCAACTAACAAATATTTGTTTAACCCTTTAAATATATTTAATATTTTAATTTTAAACACTTAAAAAAAAGCCCCAAACTTACACCAGTCGCAGGTGCCGAGTAATCCCAATTTATTGCACTATTTTTTTTTTTGGTATCCTTTCACAGTGGCGACTGGTCGCTATCAGATTACACTTGACACTGACTTCCGGTCCGGATGGTGCAGCTTCCTTTATAGCGGAATATGGAACAACCACCGCCAGAAACTTATAGCCAATCGTTGGAAAGCACCAATTGAAGCTACTGGCGAGTATAACAAAATGGCGGTGGTTCCAAAGACCGCCCCTTTCTTATTTTGGGGTGGAGGGCAGAGGCCAAAACCAACCCCTGGATGCTGCATTAATGATGGTACTTTAAATTTTGGCGCCATTTTATTAGCGGTTGGCATAACCGTTTGGTTATCGATAATTCTTCATGGATGTTTCACAACACTGCCAAAAGACACACATTTCATAACTTCATCAGCTGGACACTGATTTTCCGGCAATTCTTGGATTAAATTGGATTTATAAAACAAAATGAACGTGAGCCGATTGCTGGAACCGATCCGCAGCACCACCTGGCTGGTGCGCAACTATGGCAAGCACAACAAGAAGTACCTCTACAAGGATGGCCAGAAATTCGAGGGTATTACCTACTACCCCAGGTGAGAGCTACAAACGGGCATACATAGTCAGTGTTGAGTCTATATTTGATTTTATAGGACACCTGATCACCAGGATCCTCCCGTAGAGCCCTCTAAGCTATTCCGCGTACAGCGCATCAAGCCCGTAAAGGGGAATCCGTACTGGGAGAAGCGCATTCTCAAGGATCTGGGCCTCGATGGTAAACAGAGCGACTTCACCGTGGTTAAGAATATACCGGAAAATAATGCCCGCCTGTGGAAGATCAAGCACCTGGTGAAAGTCACCCCCATTACATTTCCATATGGAGAGCCCACAGCGCAGGATGTCCGGCACACCGTGCTGAAGGAGAACGGCGAATGTCTGGTTACCAAGGATCTGGGACCGCTGGAGGTCCGTTTGGCGGCCCGCGACCAGTTTGACGAGCAACCCAAGCGGCTGGACACCGATCTGCTGCGAAAAGATGCGCGTATGAAGTGGGTTAATCCCTGGTAACAAATTTCAGACCCTTATGTTATCCTTTTTGTTTCTCTTTTGTGATTAAATACAAAAATCGTACTTTATTAGTAAAGTTTTAAAAAATAGTAGTTATGTTTAATAAAGAGCCATGCTGACCTTCTTCTCCAGTGTCTTACACCCAGAGATAGCAAAGAGGCCGTGGTTCCGATCGTAACTAATCGATGTCGCGAGTATATCCTCGATAATGGACTTCCTGGGTGGCATATCCCAGCGGTCGAACTCTGCTTCTAGGCACTTGATCACATGGGCCTTCTCCAATGGCAGGAAGGGAATGTAGTGATCGATGACGTGTTTCTCGATCAATGTAGTCTTTTTAAGGCCACCGTCCATGTTGAAGGCAGCCTTCTTCAGCAGCGGCTCAAAGTCGCTCAGGCGGGTGTCCTCACGCAGCTTCCCGCCCTTCATCAGATTGCCCAGATGGTCGGCAATGTGGGCGCCAGCGGTGTTTGACAGAAATATAAATATGGCCTTGGTGTTGTCGGTGCCATCATCGAAGAAATTGTAGTCCACCAGCGAGGTGAGCGTGTTAAAAACACCGCTCGGCATCTTGTCCACCTCGTCGAAGATGAAAAGCGAACGTGGGCAGGACGCCAAACTCCTACGCACCTCTCTAGTGATACGGTCTTTGTAATAATCAACCTTGCTTTCCATTGGAAAGTCGGCCTGGCCAAGGTACTTGGTGACGTAGCCGGACTTTAAGCCCTCCAGGTACAGTGCATTGGCGATCTGCTCGGCCACGAAGTTCTTGCCCGTGCCCGGCTGGCCATGGAAGCTCATCACCAGCGGTTTTCGGGATCTACTTTGCGCACTGAAATGGGCTGTCAGGGCCGGTATAATGTGCTGGGTCACAATATGCTGGCCAAAGAGAGTCCTTTCCAGTGAATCTTTCAGAGCTAAATCAATTCCGGGGAGTCACATTTATATTTAGTTCCACCACATTCGAAATATTGTTTATCGACTCACCCTGTATGTTGCCCGGTATGCTCCGGTCATCGCAGCATTCATAAAACCGGCAATATGTTTGTCCCTTAAAGTACGTTAGTCCGGCTCCAATTCCAATGGCAGCCGCACCCATGGTCAGGGGCTCGATAGCCTCAACCGCGGCCAGGCAGACCAAAATAAGGCACAGGATGCACGATTTGTGCAGGACATTGAAAAAGCTCATCCTACTTGGCAATCTTTTTGCAAATAAGTGGTGGCCACTGGCGATGGTGCAGCGACCTAGAGATGGCGCATCGACCTAGAGATGGCACACCGGCTATCGGCCATTTTGCACCAGCGAAGCCCATATCGCGATATTCGCGACTTATCGTGCACGACGCATCTCTAGAAAAAGAAAAGAAGCGCCGCAACGCTGCAAAATTGTCGCTAAGGAAATTAAAGAGTTGGCACTTTGTTTAAGCATCCGTTTTAGCCAACGACGCGTATCTGGCGACTTGCAGCCGGCACGGGCACCCAAACGAATCCATTCGACTAGCCACACACGCCCAGGCGAGGCCGCACGTCAAGCAAACAGCGTGCGCCGGTGATTGGAGGACGGACAGCGAGTGTTGAGCTTTTGGAAGTGAAATTGGAAGACAAGAACCATTGAGATGAGTCGCAGGAGGGCGCACGATACGGAGGACGAGGGCTATGGTGAGTGGTGATGGGATGGGCCGGTGACTTGGTGACTACCACATGTGCCGTCTCTTACTCTTGCAGATCACCGGCGTAACAAGCGGCGTCGTGTGTCCGAAAATCAGGAGATCGAGGACCGTTTGGAGTCGCTTATACTGCGCGTCGGTGAGCGTAGCACATCCTCGGTGGAGTCCAATCTGGAGGGATTGGTCTCCGTGCTGGAGGCCGATCTGGGCACCTTCCGCCTGAAGATCTTGCGCATTCTGTCCGACTGCGCCGTGCGTATGCCCGAAAAGTGCACCGTTTACACCACCCTGGTGGGTCTGCTGAACGCAAAGAACTACAAGTTCGGCGGCGAGTTCGTGGACCACATGGTGAAGACGTTCAAGGAGTCACTGAAGCTTTGCCGCTGGGATGCGGCTCGCTACTCGCTTAGATTTCTCGCCGATCTGGTCAACTGCCATGTGATCTCGGCCACCAGCTTGCTCCAGCTGCTGGACACTATGATCGATGTCTCCAACGAGGACACGGTGCCGCAGGTGCGTCGCGACTGGTTTGTGTTCGCCGTCCTGTCCACGTTGCCGTGGGTGGGACGGGATCTCTACGAGAAGAAGGAGTCGGCCCTGGAGTCGCTGCTGCTGCGCATCGAGGTGTATTTGAATAAGCGCAGCAAGAAGCACCACAATGCGCTGCGGGTGTGGTCGTCGGATGCACCGCATCCGCAGGAGGAGTATCTGGACTGTTTGTGGGCGCAGATCCGCAAGCTGCGCCAGGACAACTGGGCCGAGAAGCACATCCCGCGTCCCTACCTGGTCTTCGATTCGATCCTGTGCGAGGCACTGCAGCACAATCTGCCGCAAATAGTGCCGCCATCGCATCACGATGCCTTCGAGTACCCCATGCCCTGGGTGGTATATCGCATGTTCGACTACACTGACTGCCCGGATGGGCCGAATCTCCCCGGTGCCCATTCGATCGAGCGCTTCCTGATCGAGGAGCACCTGCATCACATCATCGAGACGTACCACCACGAGCGCAAGGACTGTGCCGCCCAGCTGCTCAGCTTCCCCTTCAAGCACAAGATCCCCCTCGAGTACTGCATTGTGGAGGTGATATTCGCCGAGCTCTTCCACATGCCCACACCCCGCTACCTGGACATCTGCTATGGCTCCATCCTGATCGAGCTGTGCAAGCTGCAGCCGGCCACACTGCCCCAGGTGCTGGCCCAGGCCACCGAGATCCTGTTCATGCGCATCGACTCCATGAACACCTCATGTTTCGATCGCTTCGTCAACTGGTTCTCCTACCATCTGAGCAACTTCAAGTTCACCTGGTCGTGGGACGAGTGGGACAGCTGCCTGCTGTTGGACGCCGAGCATCCGCGTCCCAAGTTCATCCAGGAGGTTCTCCAGAAGTGCCTGCGGTAGGTTACCCTCTCCCTACATATTCAAGAGACATCTTAATCCTTTTGGAATTCGCAGCCTTTCGTATCATCAGCGCATTACGGAGATGATGCCCACCACATACCTCAAGCTGATTCCCCCGACGCCCTCGCCCAACTACAAGTACGCCAACGAGGAGGCAGGTGAGTGCCCCAGAAGACTCTGGCTCACAGTGACATCTGTTTATTTCCAAGACTTACAGCTAGGGAATACGATATGTAGAGTATAGATATGGGCTCCTATTTGGTACTGGGCTTCACCTCGTTCTCGTCGTCGTCCACGAATATGGGGATCTCCTCGCCGTTCTCGCCCACCTTGATGCTCACCGATCGGCTGACTGACTTCTGGGTGAGCACCTCCACCACTTCCCTCGGCTTGGGACTGGGAGTGGTGGTGGTGGTGCTGGTGCTGGTACTAGAGCTGGTAGGGCTACTGGTGGTCGTGGTGGAGGCAGTGGTGGCCACGAAGGCCTCGTGCCGCAAGCTGCTCTTCGCCTTGCTGTCCAGCTCCTTGCGCCTCTTGGCCCACTTGCTCAGCGGCGGCTCCGCCGTTGTCGATGTGGTCGTGGTGGTGGTGGATATGCCGGCTGTTATCCTGGGCGTCGTTCTGTACCGGCTGATGCTGCGCAGAGGACTGAAGTGGGTCGAGGTGGACACGAAGCTGGAGCTACTGGTGGTGGGGTTGCTTGGATTTGCACTGGTTGTGGCCTCTGTGGGGGCAGGAGTCGGCGTAGTGGTTGGCCTTGGAGTAGTAGTAGTTGTGGTGGTAGTAGGTGCCTCTGGAGTGGCCACCACCTCCAGCTGGGTTTCCGTCTCCCCATTCCTCTCCCCCGGGGGCGGATCCCCCCTCTCTGGCAATACATCGATGGGGTTCTGGTTGACGTACAAGGGATCCGGCTCGGAATACCGATAGACGGTCTCCTCTAGTGGCTCGCTCTGGACAAAGGACTGCCGGTGGCCGCCCTCCTCATCCGCCAGCCCCTCCCCCTCCTCCTCGTTGGAACTGCCGCCGCCGGCATAGATCAGCAGAGGCGGCAGCTTGGCAGTCTGGTATTTCGAGGCTTGACCGTATATTTGGGGCGTGCGGAGATCCTGGTCCTCGCCAGACTCCAGGGAGGCTGAACTGGAGCTGGGAAAGTGCACGGTTTGATGGTTGGGATAGAAGCTGGGCGCCGGAGTGGTCAGCTCTGGCGGCGATGAGCTGGACAGGCGATGGTAGTTCAGCTCCGGGTCACCACCAGCCGGGGCGACGTAGAAATGATGATGGAAGTGGTGGGTCACGGCGCCCGAAGTGGCTGGTACGTCCGAAGGCAAAGGTCTTGCTGGTATTCCTGCTGAGGCTCCGCCACCCAGACCACCACCCAGTCCTCCACCCAGGTGGATCAACTCATTGTTGTTCACCTGGCTGGGAAACCTCTCCAGTTCCGGGTGAGCCCCAAACTTGACGCCCGGATAGTTTGGACGAAAGGTGGTCGGTCGCAGGCCCAGGTTGAAGAGTCCTGGGTACAGTTCCAGCTTGGGACCTTCCACCGGAGCCGCTCCCTTCAGATACTCACCGATGTTCAGCTTGGGCGGGCCAGGGGGCAGTGGCGGGGGCTGGAATATCCCATGGACGAATGTGGCCTGGGACTGCTCCCGCTCCCTGTCCCTCTCCCGTTCCCTGTCTCTGTCCTGCCGCCTCTGGGCAAAGCCAGGATCATGGGATAGCCGCCCGAAGCTGGCCGGATAGTCGGACTCCTTCTGGATGTAGCTCATCCGGTGGTGCGGCTGCCACGCCTTGTTCTCCAGCGGCGTCACACTGAACTTCATCTCGTAGTGGTAGTGATGCCGTCCCGGTTCTCCGTCCCTATGCCGGATGCGTTGCACCTGCCACAGGGCCCGTCTCTGGTTGGGATTCGCGCTGCTGGTGGTGGCCGTGCTGGCTCCTGCCTCCAAAAACCGGTACGTCCTGTTGCTCCGTCCAGTCGGCAACTGCTCCAGATAGCCCTTGGCCAGGGTGACGATGTCGCCGAAGCGATCCCCGCCACGACGGTCTTCCTCCGCTGGGATGTAGGGCGTTTGCAGGAACTCGTGGTAGTCGTGGAGCTGGCTGGAAGGGAATAAGGGGTTTCCAAAATTATCAGAGGGTTTATAAGGATGTGGGACATATACGGAAATCAAGATCCGTAAGATCCTTACGAGGGTTTCTACAAAAATTTAAAAAACCAAATTTAATAAAAATATTTCTTGCAGGATTCTCAAGGGCGTTCAAGGTAATCCTTTCAAGAATCCGACAAGACTTTCAAGACAGGGCCTGAAAACTGACCATAGCCATAGCTGGGGTCTCACCTCAAGTTCCCGGCTGCAGCGCCCATGGCGGCATTCGTGAAGAGGGTCACATAGGTCACATGCTTCAAGGTGTGCTCCCAGGGACGCGGCTCCAAGAACGGTCGTCTCTGGGCCTTCTTGGCGGTCACCTGCTCCTCCTGCTCCTGGAAAGTGGGCTCCTCGTAGAACAAACGCTTGCCACTCAGCTGATGTCCTGGCCTGGGGGTCAGCAGGAAGTCCCTGCCCGGCCCGCCGTCCACAATGGCCCAGCCCAGGGGCAGCTGTGGAGCAGAGATCGTAGATCCAGTCACTGGGATTATAAGCTTTCTCTGGACTTACAGTAGCCATCAGAAGGGTCAACACAATCCGCATGGTTCGCACATGAACAAAAATCCAAAAAAAAAAAAAAAGAATATATCTCCAATCTCGACGAGCGATTGTTTTCGGATGCGTTGCGCGCGCTTGGAACCGCGAATAACGTCTGTCTGGGGAGTCTTGGGCCTCGGATGGCTCCAGTAGCTTCGCTAGCTTGCCAACCACCCCGCCCCGCCCCGAGACTTGCTTTCGTTGGAGCAGCCAAGCGATGCGTCGCCAGCGGCAGTGGAGGAGGTTTTGCTTTTTGCGCAACCTGCAGTCGTCGTTTTTTTTTTTTTTGGATTTCTTGCTTGGATTTGGTTTGGTTTTTGCAGAGGAAACTCCAGCGGAGTTGTCGGAATCGGAGTCACCGTTTATGCAACACTTTTGGTTGGAGGGCGACGCCACCGAATCTCAGCTAGACTTGGAAAATAATGCTCTTTCTTTAAAGACTACTATATAGACTATGGTTGAGGTTGGAGTTTTGTGGATCTATGGGGGGTTCTTGTAGGTCTTGAAATAAGTCTAAAATAGGTCTTGAATAGGTCTTAGTAGGTCTTAAGTACGATTAGTATCTATAGTACTATAGATCTTGGTTTATGTAGATACTATATCTTCTAGATTCTATTCTAGAATTTAAATCTTGAAAAAAGTAATATTCTTTATGAAAGATTATAGCATTATAGATTGTTATTCTTAGAGATCTATAGATCTGTTTTTGGGGGTTCTATATAAGACTTGAAGAAAGATTATAGATTATATTTCTGAGAAGATTTTGTAAGCCATTGAGGCATAATATTTCAAGTATCTCCACTTTATACTTTTATAAAGACTATAACTAATAGTACTACTTTTTTCCAAGAATATAGTATAAAAGATTATAGTTCTTAAAGATCTAGGTTCTTGAGAGAATATTATATTTTTAAAAATATTTTATAGAGATATTTAATAATAGTATTCTACCATTCTACAAGTATTTCTACCAAATCCTAGTCTCTATACTGGAGAGATAGTTATCCCCCTTAGGGGGAGACCCCATAGGGTATTCAGAAGCCTCATTTTGGAAGCGAAACCCCCATGACTTTATATGCTTCTTGATTTTCGATTTCATTTGGGCCCAAATAGTGGCTCTAGCTCAGATTTCCATTGAGATATATTTTGATGGCTCGGTTGGGTGGAGGCGATGCCCCCGCCCCCACGTAGGAGGCCCTTGTAGATTCTACATCGTTCCAAATAGGCGATTTCACCTTGCCCGGGGTTCTCTCTTGTGGCTTCCGGCCCAGATCTGAGATCAGATGACCTCGGATAGCATTGAACCCCGCCGAGAAGAGTGTGGAGTACTTTCCCTTTCTTTCCCGTCTCCGTCTCCGGGGAGGGACATGCCCAATTAGAGCTGGAAACCAGAGTGGCGTGAAAAGATCTATCGGAGGGGGGCTAGAGGTGGCTTATTATTAATGTGAGAACTCTGCCAAAGTCGTCGGCTCACATGATCTTGACACATGGAAACGACTCCCAGACCATTGACATTGTGTTGGAAGCCAAAGGTTGGAGCTGGCTGGCTGGCTGGGTGGCTGGCAGAAGCCGTCTCCCACCGAGAACTGGCCACTAAGTAAACTCCCTATTTGCCAATACATTGACTTGCCAATAGGCCGCATAATTAGCCCAGGCCTCTGGCCTGGAGCCAGGAGGAGTGGCTGGAGGGGAGAGTCATTAGTCGCGCACCACACCAGTGGAGGTGCCGCTTCGTTCCACGCCACTCACCGCGCCATAACAGAAGCAATGAAATGCGAATTGCAACGAAAGTGTCACCTAACTGGAAGCAATCGAGGTTGCAATCCACCGAATTATCTAAATCGTTTCCCCCTTTTTGTTTTCGTTGTTGTTATTGCAGCCAACCTGCCCGGAACCACGGTGGCCCATCAACTGGTGGTGGCCATCCGGCAGAAGTGCCTGCCCGAGGAGGTGGTCAACATCCTGAAGGAGATACCCAGCAGCGGGTACAGCGGCGAGGAGATGTCCGACGGCAGCTTCAATGCCTTAAAGATCGACGTCTTTGTCCAGACGCTGCTCAACCTGGGCTCCAAGTCCTTCTCGCACAGCTTTGCCGCCATCTCCAAGTTCCATTCTGTGTTCAGGGCCCTGGCCGAGACGGAGGAGGCCCAGATCTGCATACTCCACAACATCTTCGAGCTGTGGTCCACCCACCAGCAGATGATGGTCGTCCTGATCGACAAGCTGCTCAAGCTGCAGATAGTCGACTGCTCGGCGGTGGCCACGTGGATCTTCTCCAAGGAGATGACCGGCGAGTTCACCAAGATGTACCTCTGGGAGATCCTCCACCTGACCATCAAGAAGATGAACAAGCATGTGATTAAGCTTAGTGAGTGTTGGCTCTTAAGGCTTTGAGATTCTTTTCTAACCTGCCCCCCCGTTTCAGATACTGAGCTGAGCGAGGCCAAGGACAAGCTCTCGAAGGCCGACTCCTCGTCCAGCGACTCGGACGATGATACTCCCCACAAGCGGAAGAAGCCCATCACCCATGCCGACAAGCCCTCCGAGGAGGTTCGTCTTTCTATTACTTCTTAGGGAATCTTTAATCCAATCCCCGTCTGTTTAGGTCGTGGAGCGCATGGAGGAGAAGCTGGAGGCCGCCAATGTCAACCAGAAGCGCCTGTTCCTGATCGTCTTCCAGCGCTTCATTATGATCCTATCCGAGCACCTGCTCCGCTCCGACACCGACGGTCGTGATCCGGACACGGACTGGTATCGCTGGACAATCGGACGCCTGCAGCAAGTCTTTCTGATGGTAAGACCACGTAGACCTCCTAGAAACTAATCCCACTAACTCTCCGCATCCTGTGCAGCACCACGAGCAGGTCCAGAAGTATAGCAGCACCCTGGAGACGCTGCTCTTCACCTCCGACCTGGACACCCACATACTGGAGGTGTTCCAACAGTTTGTGGCCCTGCGTGCCTAAAGATACCATTGGAATTCAAAATTAGTCCTTAATCCTCACCAGAAACCACTACAAACACTAACTAAACAGCTAACTTTTCATTTCTTTTTTTTAAAACTAAAGTTATCTTTTTTTTTAATTTAAAACATTATGACACACAACCAGAAACCGCAGAGGAAACTTGTAAAAGGGAAGATTTTTTATAAATAATTTATAAAGTTCGCAGAGAACCCACAAAAGTACAATGATAGTCGAATGCTTCACTGGGCGGGTAACTTTATAGAGTATCTACTGTAATATGTATTTAAAAATAGAATCCAAAATAAAGCCAGGCATGTGGCATGTCTGAAGTAAAAGCCTCTTGGAGTCTCTTTGGAGTGCCTACTTTTGGGCCGTTTTGCAGAAACCAGAGTATACCCCAGGGGGGTATATCCCCAAAGTATCTCCCCCCAGTCAGTAAAAAATCAGAAAATTAAGTCAAGAAGTTCCGTTTATTCGATTCATCTTCGGAGGTTTTCGGGCAGCGATAGACCTTGCGGGGACGAAAGTAATCCGGATCCACAATGTAGGGGAAGTTGTGCAAGTGGATGATGCCATTGACGGGCTCCGGCATCTCTTCCATGTCTTGGTCCATCTTCTTGGCCTCCTCCTGCTTGGCCGCCTCCTTCTTGGCCGCCGCCTGCTTGGCCTCCACCTTCTTCATGTAGAGCACCATGGCGTACATCTCGCGGTCCAGCTTACTGGTGTCGTCCCAGTCCTCCATGTCTGCTACTATGGGCGGATCGCCATAGATTTCGGTCTGAATATCCCCAATCCATTGCATAAAGCTCACCTTGGCGGCGTCCTCGCGGAGCTTGCGAGCTTCCTTCTTCGCCTCGGTTTCCGGAGGGAGGAAGTCCGACAAGAGATTAGGGGGCGTCTGGGTGTTGGGAAACATGATTCCGGTTTATTTTCTCTTCTAACTCGGAAGGGTTCTGTCGTGCAAGATTTTTAGGTCGTTTTCCTCTAAAGTGCTGACTCAGAATGACGGAGAAATGTGACACTTGACCCGAAGTGTGTGTTGGAGAAGGTGGTAATCCTTTAGAGTAGGGTAGAGTAGCCAACATTGGAGTACTCGTGGAGTAGGCAACCCTGCCAAAGCACAGATAACCTCAAAAAGCAAAGGGCAGTTGCACCACTACGGTTATGGTGATGAAGACTAGGCAACCCTGCCAAAGCACAGATAACCTCAAAATAAATAACCACTTTCCTGCTCCGATCTTGGTAAATATATATATTTATTCGTTTGTATATATATAGTATATATATATAGATCTGTTTTGTATGCTTTAAATATATGAAAATATATACATTTCGTAGTTCTCCGAGTTCGTGATCAGGTTTATGAGAAGCTATATGGTTTTCGAGTCACATGTCCAGTGTTCCAGGTCGTCATCGTGGTGGTTAATCCCCTTACGAGGATGTGCGCGGCTGGCTGGGCACGTACTTCTCCGAGGGCTGGTACTGCCACTGGGCGCAGATCTCCTCCTGCTCCGTCTGGTTGTAGCCGGCTCTGGTTTGCAAAATCAAGGACATGCTCTTTAAAATCGAGGTATCTCATGGGAATTTATTAATATTTTGATTTCTTTAAAAAAAAAAAAAGACTCAACAACATGCAGAACAGCTATGGCAATCATCACACATGCAGGACTACGATCTAGGGACTAAGCACTACTAATACTACTCAGCTGGAGGGTTAGACAGGAGTCGATTCTTCCATTGGGAACAGTCTTGTGGCGTCTCACGGCTGCCGCCTTTCTAGCTCCAGCGATAGTCGTAACCCTGATAGCCCTGGTATCCGTAGGAGCCCTGCCCCGACCTCGGTCGCTGGTAGCGATAGCCCTGCTCCGGCGGCAGTTCCCGGCTAACCGGCGCATGGAGGCTATCCCACAGCAACCGGGGCCGCTGCACCACCTCCCGGAGTATGTTGACGGCAGCCAGACCGACACTGGCCAGCTTGACGCCCCATCGGCGGGCGGTGGCCTTGGCCGGCAGGAGGCCGGGTGCGGCCGCGGCCAGGGCACGACCCTGCGGATGGCTGGACAGGATTTTGGCTATCAGATTGTCGCTGTGCGGCGGTACATAGAGATCCGCCTGCCGGAACTCGGCCGGACAGTGATCGGTGCGATAGTAGAAGTCCTCGAACCTCTGATGGGCCGAGCAGGGGCTCCGCTCCTGGAAGCAGGTCACCTGCACCACATTGTAGAAAATGGCGCCCAGCGTATTGGCCGTCTCCGTGTTGGCCGCCTGCAGGCACCGCCGGAACCGGGCGTCACAGTCGCAGTGACTCCGCGTGAAGGTGCCACGGTTGCAGAGCCCGCGCCGGCACTCGCCCACATTGAGGACATCCGGGCACATGTCGTGCTCCCTGCAACACCGATCCTCGCGGGCATGGGCTCCCAGGTCGTCATAGCTAGTGGCTGCTGTGCCGGGACCACACCACTTCGTTCCCGGATAGATGAAGCCCAGGCCGCCGCGGAACTCATGGCCGTACGATCCCTGACGGCGGCAGACCTCCTCCAGTTCCATCACCGACTCCCGCGGCACCTGGCGGATGCGGCGCGGATCCGACTGCAGCAACATGCGCTGGATGTCGCCCCTGAAAGCCAAAACGTAAGTAGTTATAGCCTTTGAATGGAATAGGTCCACTTACCGATCCGTGTGCATTTTGCAGAAGGGATGCCGCGACGAGAGCTCCACCATTACGGTCATGGTCATGTCGGAGATGAGCACTGCCGATCCGGAACTGGGCGGAATCCGGAATCCGAGCCACAGTAGCAGCAGCACCACCAGCGGTTCCCTCATGGCGCCCACCTGCTCAGGACGACAGACATATAGAGAATATATATTATGGCGATTACAGATCTAGAGGTGTGTGGGCGAGGAGGAGGCGTGGTCCGAGCAAGGGCTTGAATACGAGACGTGCTTGGCCGAGCTGACGGCGCGATAATGATGCGGCGCGGCATGGTATGGATGGATTATGGTATGGTATGTGGGCCATCATTAGCCTTAGAGCCGGCGATCGCCCGCAACAGATCGCATTTTGCATTTCTATGGACCACTCTCTGGCCAGATGACCTCTGGCCGGCCACAGCAGAATCAAATATCCATAACTGAGTACAGTGGGACGAGTTAAATGGGTGAGTATTAAAACTGGGTGAGGTATAAATTAAGAATTATACATATTCCACTTAATTTTTCATTAAAATATATTTTACTTTTATTTATAATATTTATAAACTTTAATATTAATTATTAATCATTTAAAATATTTTCATATTCCAAGCATTTGACTTTGAAAAATAGATAAATAATTAATTTTAAATTAAATTTTCATTAATTTTGCATTTTTATCTATTATATAATAATTTATAATAATTTTGAATAATCAATACCACTGTAAAATCAGCGATCAAAACAAAAGGCAACACAAAACAAATGATTGCCGCAAAAGCAAAAACAAAAACAATAACAAAAACAAAGACAAAAAGTAAAAAAAAAACAAAAACAATTTGCAAAATAAAAGGCGATGGGTTTCTGATAAACGGTATTAAGGTGGATCCATATCGCACCGGTGGAAGCGAGACAAAGACAGGTGAAGAATGGCAAAGAGAGCCAACCGACGACCTACCCCACCAAAGACAAAAAAAACGCAAAAAAAAAAGCAAAAATTAAAAATCACCCAGGAAGAGTTGAGGCCGTAGCATTTGTGGGTCAGTTGAAGGTGGAGGCGTTAGCTTGTTACCAATTCTTTTTGGCTCTTTCTGCTACTTCATTCTCTTTTGTTTTTGGCCAACTGGCCAAAAGGTGAAGGTCAACCCGCGCCGTGCCGACAACTCTGTTAATTAGTTAAAAGAAGAAGAAAAATGACGCACAGCTTGATTCTTCTCCACATGTTTGTCTCTGTGTGTGTGTGTATCTGTGTGTATGCTTACTTTACGTTATTATTTGGATACTTTTTTTTTTAGTGCCAGGCCAAGGAACAATTTTTACCCATCACGTTCCGCCACTCTGGGGTTGTAAAGCGGGAAAATAATTAATGATGACACTTTGCAGCCCCGCTTATTATAAGTATTATTTATGTTGTTTGCACAATTGCTCTCGCCATGTTAGCCCAGGTGGCAAGGGGGGTGGGGATGTGCTGAGTGCTGTCATTGTCACACACACCCGTTTACCCGCTCCCATTACGATGTAACTGGAGCGGGAGGGGGACAAAAGGTAGAGCGTGGGAGAGAACATCAATAAAATCAACGTGTGTGCGAAGGAGTTAGCAGGAGTTCATTTGTCACCCAAAAGGTGAGAGAGTACAAGATCGACACAAGGGCTTAGGGTTGAATGATGGAAAGGGGATTAGTTGACACCCCACCACTGTTTCCTTTTTATTTTTCTCACCAAATAAATAATATTTGCTAATAACATTTTTATAAAGTTCATAATACAGACTAACAGAGTCCCCCCACCCAATGACTTGCAAATATTTGAGACGCCCCTGGCCTTGCTCTCTGTCATCGCATGAACTTGCCTGTCACTCAGCTGGCGAATTCATTCCAGTTTATTTATGGACTAGACTGGAAGTTATTAAACAATAGAGCCGCCGCCGATCAATCCCGATCAATTCGCATTAATAATTCGGACCGACAAGTGACAACAATTGGTAATCGATTACCCAACTGGCCATTCTAGCAGCCATCTTCTTCTTCTTGTTTCTCGATTAAAATACCATAATCGAAGGCATCAGATTGGATTATCTGGCTGGCCATCTACCGTTTGCATATTTTTCAATGTCAATGCTTTTGGTCTCTGTCTTGGGTCTTGGGTATGGTATGGACCTCTCTTTCGCTCCAACAGTTGACTTTTTCAAGACACTGAGAGAAATTTTACACCTAAAATATATATACCTTTTAAAAAATATATATATTTTTTTAATAGTATATATATACTTTCTTATTTAAAGATATATTTTAATTATATAATATTTTCTTTATAATCTATTAATTTCTCTCAGTGTAGTTTAAAAGAAAACGAAAATATAAAAAAATACCCCAAGTACAATGACCCAACTACCCGAAGAAAACAAAAAAAAAAAAAACAGCATAAACGTAAACAGAAAATAATTCAAAAATACTTAAACCGTTTATAGAGCCATTGTGCGCGCTTTAGACCCATTTGACTTATAACTTTTGGCTTAAACTGTCACTCAGCGGAAAGTGAGTTATTAGCATTGGATCCAATCAAAAGGAATTACAGTCAGAGACCTCCACTTTAGAAGCCACAAGTCTGGGGACCCGAAAATTCTTCCAACTTGTAAGGTTTATAGACCGCTTTTAATGATCTTGGCCAAAAAGCTTCCATAAACTTGTAAAAAAAATGCATAAAAAGGCCATATCTTGATATTTTTAGGGTTCCGAGTTGGGGACGTAGTGCTGCATATAAAATTTCATTTCGGCGGGGTTTAATAACCCCAGGGAGCGTTTCCGTACCTTGGTCTTTGCCTTTTGGCCAAAATAGTATAGACTTTGGTCTCCAAGATCTCCAAGGCGTGTGTTCGATTGCCGATCATCAATCAACAATCTCCTGATTTGGTTTCTTTTTTTTTTTTTCATCTTCAGATTTTTTCTGAATTTTTTTTTCTGAAGCCCTTCACTTGAACGCATCGGAAACTGGTTTTGGGGCTCGTTTGCATTTTGAATGTCACGCTGCAGACACGCTGGGTACTACTACCAGACTAAATAAAGCTCTCTGGTTCTGAGCCCACAATAACAAGTTGTAATCCCCCCTCCCTCATCTATACGGTTTTGGGCCAAGTTGAGACGTGGTAATTGCCAAGCAACTGTCATATGGCTGCCCGATAATCGCTGTAATTGCCGCAGAGCTCCGCCGAGACCTTCCGACGTGCTCTCATAAAGGAAGCAACGTCCTTGTCCTCTGGACAATCTTTTGAAATGGGGTCAAGTTGAAGACCCTCCCCGATCGAACAGGAAATATTGAGGAGGGGAGAGTAAGAGTTATGACCCGGATAACCCACGCCCTCTAATAGACCCTAATACAGTGTCAGGATCGTAAAGTGGTGCCATCCGGAGACGATCTGAAAGGCAAACAGAGGCCCGTCTTTGTTTCTTTTGCATTTTTTTTTGCTTAAATCGATCGAAAGGCGGATAAATATGGACAGAGCTAACTGGACAGTGGCGGTCATTGAACGCCCAAGGTCGTGGCTTCGACTACAAAACCAAAACAAAAGATATATACTCATAGGGCTGGAAATTGAAAATAAACCGAAAACCGAAAGCGTTAATTGCCAAAAAAAAAAAATAGAGGAAGCTACTCTTTGATTTTTTACACAAGAGTGGCTTAGGAGGGGGTGGGGAACGAATACCAATCGGAAGTTGGCCAAGAACATAGCGTATTGGCTATTGACTTTCGCAATTGGCAACTAGAACTGCCCAACCTTCGGAAAACTGAGCCTCTAATCGCTGAGCAAATTTCGCAGATGAATGTGCGAAAAAATAGAAAAAATATAGTAATGCTGAGGTTCCTCAAATCATGCCCATCCGAGCTCACAAATATTTAACCATGTTGCCAGATAACCAATGTGTCCACAACATCCACTGTGTTTGACATGCAAATGCCAAGGGTTCTCTCGGCTTTCTGAAGATTTCTGTTTTTTTTTTAATTTTTAGCAATTACATATGTATATGGGCGGGGCAGAGTCTTAAAAGGGGGATTATAAGACGAGAACTTAATAGGATTTTCCAAGGCCTTCAAAGTTTTTAATTACAAAAGTTTTTATACAAAATAAATGGTTAGATTGTTCAACATGGACTTTTAATTTAAAAAAAAATCTTTTAGAGGTTTGGGATTATTAACCTAGTAAATTTTAAATGTATTTAAGTTTTTTAGGCAATAATTTGTATCTTTTAAAAATATTTTTAATAAAAAAACTGGAATATTTTAGAGAGAACCTAAAAGTATCGGGTATCTTATAGTATAGAATGGATACCATAACTTTTTTTTTGGTTCAAAATTTATTCCACTTTTAAATTATTTAAAAACTATTAAAACAAATATATGAAGAGATTTAAAATGATATTTTTATAATATTTAAATATTCTTTATAAAAAGGTTTAAAGAAATGATATACAAAAGGATTTAAAAAGAGCTAGAGTACCTGGTATTATATAGCCTATAATTTTTGTTTTTGGTTTTAACTATATTCCGCTTCTTTATAAATGTTTTTAAATATTAAAATTTAAAATTTAATATTTAAAACAGCGTAGTTTTTAAATATAGTACCAAGTATCATCAATCCTATATCTTTCCTTTTAGTTTAAAATATAATTCCACAATTATTCATAAAATTGTTCTCCCTGCACTTTCAGATATCCTGCCACCTTCACACCACCTGTGTGGCGGTATCCTATAAATCCTGCATCCTGGCAGGATGATGAAAAGCTCTGCTTTAAACGCAAGGCCACCGGCTGGTTGCCTTCACCTTTTGACATTTGGCCCACTGCGGACTCAAGAGGAGGACTCACCATACACCACACACCGCCCACCACCCACTAGCGCCCGACCAGCCACCCCCTTAGTGCTGGCCTGCTTGGGATATACACCCTCGCCATGGCCTTCGTGCGTAAATGACCTTCAAACCACAACAACAACAGCAAGGACACGTGTCTGCACTTCACATTAAAAAAAAAAATAAATAAAATAAAGGTAAAACTTGCAATTATCCTGCATTTACCTGGAAAATGTTAAGATATTTTTTTTTATTTTTAATCCCTGTCAGAGATGACCTTGTGGGTTTCGCGGCAAAGGAGC